TCCCCCCCCCCTTTCCTGGTGAAAGATTATATTTGAACAGCCCCTAACACACCGGTAGAGAGAAAAGGGGGAGAGATTTTATGAGGATGATGTTTCGTTAATACAAAAAAAGGAGCAAAACACACATGTGATATATTCTGAACAAGTTATTACACTTGGTTTTAAGGATTTTCAAATTCAATATTGTATTTTTTTGGTTCCAGTCAGACGATGGTGACCGAGCTGAATGAGATAGACAAACTGAGGACTCAAATTCAAGATGTTCAAGTCCCTCTTGAGGTGTTTGAGTGAGTGCACATTACAAATTTGCCGAACGTAGCTCTTGATTAGACCAAATGGAAGACATTTATAATATGTATATTATTATATATGTGAAATAAACAAATGGATATTCAGAGGCTGGTTTCAACCATAATTTTGTTAGAATTAGACTGTACTTGTGTTTTGTGTTACCAGTATACCATACCTACGCAGTGGAAATGCTTTATATTAAAATCTACCGAACCGCCAATTTTTTAAAGTTTTAGTTTTAGAGATATTGATCAGATTAGTGCCCACACTGAAGGGAAGTAATTCATCTTTGAAATCACAAGAAAAGTATAAAGAATAGAGTTGAGATTGCTATGCTTGTGGCAAATTTCGCTCTTTGAAAGTTTGTTTTTTCATCAACCTCTCTCAGTAAGCGCAGTTTTTGAGCCGTAGAGTGTACACTATTGTGTTGTCTCTCAGACATTGTTGTCAGCTTGCTTAATCTGTCGAACATTTCACACAGAGTTAAGGATAGAGTAGATCAGGACACTGTGAGTGTCTGACGGTAATGTGCTCCGCACCAGGCTAGACCTAGAGGCATGAGAGGGCCCATTGCTGGTGATGTCATGAAAGCCATCACATGCCGTCACATCTGCATGAATGTGTATTTGACCAAACTTTTCAGAGACAATATTAGCGTCATTAAGCAGTGTGTAGGCCAATTGATGTGAGTGATGAGTGTAGGCAAACAGTACACTGGCGATGCCTCTTTCTAGCCTGCAATCAACACACATGTTCTTGTAAGTCTCTTTCCTCAGTTTTGCTATCCTAAAGTGAGTAAGACGTGATGATGTCTTACTTGAGGGTTGTTTGTGAATATTTAGAGTGGGTGGTTTGCGGGTGCTCTGGTGTGGTTTGCTCCTTCATTCCTATCAAACATCTGTCGTCCTGATCTCTCCTCCTTTTTTGTATGTTACTCACTTGTAACATCTCTAATCTTTGGCACTTATATGACCTTATTGTGTTGCAAGTGCTGTAAAACTCTTACTAAAAAAATGTTTGTTTTTTTAAGATTAGACGACATAACCCTCAAAATTCTTATTTGAAATAGGGAGCATTTTGGCTAATTACTAGATCTTATTCAAAAACAAAGAACAAAATAATTGAGATTTCTATTTCTGGATCGATATCAACATTTCTTTTAAGATTGCCACTGTTATCTGTTTAAAGAGATTGGGGGGGGGGGGGGGGGGGGGGGGGCGCTTAGGGTTTACATCCCAGCATTAGCCTTGCATGATTATTGATAATGTCTCTGCTAGTCAAAAGAAATTTGCAGAGCTTTTATCGAAGCTATTAATTGTCAAGAGACTTCATATATTATAGTCATATTATTATTATTATCTTCTGACAACCTCCTTATTATTCTTTCTTTTGTTTTTTTAGTCCTGTCATTATTGGCATAAAGTCAAGATATTTAACCACTGTCTAACAGTACTAACGTGCACATAGTGAGGTCGGCGGGACACTGAAATGATCTTTTCATTGTGTGCAAATTTTGCTGTGCATGTTTTAAATACAAAGATTACGGTATAGAGAAAATATTTGGCACCTGAAAATCTGTTCGCTATGTTCGTGTTTCCCTATGTGTGTGTGTTCCCTATGTGTGCTAGACTGTATGTTTATGTTTATGAAGTTAGGGTTGGTTTTTTTTTCATCTTCTCATCCTCAGCTATATTGACCAGGGCAGAAACCCGAGCCTTTACACCAAAGACTGCCTGGAGAAGGCCTTGGCTAAGAATGAACAAGTGAAGGGAAAAACAGATAGCTTGAAGGTGAGACTATGGCCATTTCAGTTACATGGTTATTTTCAGAGTGCATACATATCCGGTACTCCACTCTTCTATGACTTTCTGTTGTGGTCTTTGGAATAATTTGCAAATCAAAGTCCAAGACAATCACATGTACAATCTACCACTTTGTCATCCCCATGTGTTTTGTTTTTTTCTATAAGCCTAGATCTATATTATAATTAGTATAACGCCACTGCCAGTCCAAGTCGTCCCCCTGTCTAAGACAACCATTTTTCTCCACGACAATTGGTGGCGGTCCGGGACAATTTTGCCTGTACTTGTCCATTGAATGGAATTTTCAAGGTATCTTTGTGTGCAAAGTAGTAATATTTACTAAATTTTATCTAGGGATATTCTGTAAAATATTAGTACAGTATAATCCGCATATATCGACATGCTGTGGGAAGTGGATTTGATGTCGATATATATATATATATATATATATATATATATTATAAATGTTGATAAATGAAAATATAAAGCCAAAGAGGAAAAACAAGGAGAGGGCAGCCAGTAAAAGACAACACTACTTTTTAAGCTGGTTGCTTCCCTTGATTCTTGAAGCTAAAAAGGGGGAGGGGGGGGGGGGTGGGTTGGAGTTACGGTACCAAAGACTGAGCAGCGCGAGGTGCACACTACACACCAGCGCAAACTTTGTTGTAGCATCCTTGTAAGGTCTATTTATGGCCGCTTGCAGGGGAATATGGAAAGGCGAGGCTCTGACTCGCTGACCGTGACACTTGCCAGCGACAGACTGAGAATGGGATAGGGAGTGGGGGTAGGGAGGTGATGCCCAGTGCGCGAGACGCTCATGTCTGTGAGGCACTGTACTGTGGTGGAGACTACACTTGTGTAGGCCCTATATTACCTACTAAAGCCTGGTGCGTCAGATAGGCTACTTGGCGGGTATGCAGACTTAATAAATAAACTAATGCGTTGCCCGTTAGCGTGGCCTTTTCCCCCCCATTTATATGGGCTTTGCCAGGTACCCAGGAAGCATGTCAATAAAGCAGAGTGGGCCCAAAAAAAGGGCGATGTAAGAGAAATTGTTTAGTGAAGATATTGAAGGAAAAATTTCGTAATTGGAAAATATGTCAAAATGTCGATAAATTATAATTCGAAAGTCGATATAAGTGGATAATATACTGTACAGTAGTCTACATGATGTATGCTCCTTCAGAGGCCTGGAGGTCAGCCTCTTGGACTTGCTACCATAAGGTTGTGGGCTCTAATCTCATCAGGGATCCAACATTGTGTCAGAAGGAAAGGCACTTTACACAAATTTTTCTTATTTCACCCAGATGGGAATGGGTACCCAGCTATAGACAGCAAAAGATCTTGTCAGTTTGTTGTTTTTAGGAATGCAATCCACAAGTTGCACTCTATGCTTCTCAGGAAGCAGTGAACATTTCCCAGTGTTCTAGGGTCTGCTGGGGTAATAATATGTAGAGAGCATGCTGTATGTAGAGCGTGGACGGATATGCACTATACAAATTCAACTGTTGTTGATATTATTATTATTATATTTCCTGTACATGTATCATCAAGCGGTAGACTAATTTTAGCTTCTTTGTTTTTTACCATCCCCAGAGATTCAAAGCCATGTTGCTTCAGGAATTATCTAAAGTATTTCCCAGTGAGATTGAGATGTACCGAGCTTTGAAACTTGGACGTGGACCGACGTAGACGCATAGTCTTGTCATTGTTATTTTGCTTTGGTTACAGTGTCCTTGGCTTATAGTGGGGTAGCAGCTCAAGTATTGTAATTTGGGGTTTTGGCGAAAAACAATTTTTTTATTCCAAGGCTGTGAGAAGCTCTGTGGTAACACCTCTAATCTGTGGCTCTCTGACCTTATAGTGTTACTGCAAGTACAGTAAACCTTTGACTAAAACTAAAGCACTGGGAATTGGCACATGCCCTGTAAAAAACTCAAAATTAGTGCACATTTTTGGGTGGTCGTTGAAATTGGAATTCTTGGTATTGTTGATGGATATAGAGATGAAAAATCAATTGTTGTTGTGGGTGGGGGGGGGGGGGGGTTGTTTTGTTCTTCCTGAGTGACTGGAAAAACCCACACTACGATTACGATAGTTGTGCTGTTACCCCACAAAAAGTAAAGATGTGTAAATTTTATACATTTTATATCATTTGTAGTATGGTAGGTTGTTTGTTGACTTGATGACAAACCAGTGGAGCAAGAAGGCATTTGTCATTTTCAAAAAAAGGGGTGGGGGGGGGGGGGGGGGGTTCTTGTCTTATATTCGAAGGCTGCCTAATCTTGTTTTATATCTAGGTGTTGTAATTGTTCTCCCCAAATAAACAATTTTCTGTTGCCCATGATGACTAGACATGATAACATTCCTTGTCAGAGCCTCAGAAGTGAAACAGAAATAATGCCTCTTGATAATTCTTTTTTAGCTGGTGCTCTCCATCTGATGTTCTTTTGTGTTATTGCTTAACCCTATCCGTACGTCGTGTTTTACTATCGTATCCAGACGACTTGGGGAACTCTGTGCCACCACTTTCCAAAGAGGAAATTTACTCGTTAATCCGATCCATACGCTTAACATAGCGGTCTGTCAAAATTACTTTTTGAGAAATACTGAAAGTTTTAAAGAGATCTTCGTACTAGAAGTATTCTAAAATGTGAAGAATACAAACCCAGGGGTACAAAATGACCTCAGGGCGTACGGATAGGGTTAAAAATCATACTTTGTGTTAAAAGATCTTGTATTGTTCGGGAAACTGTGGGCCACTCTCGTGCTCATAGATTTCAGGATGTCATTCCTTCTACTTACAGTTTTAACTCACTGACTACGGTTCTCGTCACAGGTACGGGGCGGGTGGCTGGCTGGCCGGTACCGGTCCCGTACCCCCGACAGGGTGGACTTAGCGATTTTGTTCCGTATCTTGTGCTCCCGTCACATGCACAGGAACAGTCCCCAGATCTAGTTTTGCCTCTCGTTTCGTTTGATGCCGAATTTGGCGGAAGTTGCGTGGTAACTTTTTAAGTAATTGAAGGTGAGGGACAGTCACCTCAACTGGGGTTGATCTGACCGGAACTCGCGCTATGTTTTTTTCTATACCGAATAACTTATAGTAATTTAACAGTCGCATCGCGAATTAACGGTCGAAGAAGTCGCATGAACAAGAATCATATAATTTCGCTGTTTTCGATACTTCTACTAGTTTTACTAGTTCTGGTGACTCAGAATATGATGTGTCTGCTAGTTAAGATCCTGGATGTACCCGAACACGGCCTGAGTCGTAGTTTTAGGGCTAGATCTGGTACTGGTGATGTTCGCGCGACGAATTCATAACTTAGTGCCCTACATCTGTCTCATGTCATGTATAATTCATTGTATGGGTCTGAATCAACGCACGGCCCAGCTTTTATATTTTCACCAAACACTCACACATGCATACAAATCAAACCAGAACACTTTGAACGATTATTTTTGTTGTTGTGAATTTCATTCTATCTGTCTCGTCTTTGGAAATTTTTCGAAAAATCAAATTCATATAAATTGAAGTATTAGACTTAGACAACTTAAATTTTTGGTATTAGATTGAACTTGAATGTAACTTTACTGTGTCAAAAAATGATTACAAAAGGTAATTCTGAGAGTTGTGGTGTTTTGAAATACCCCCAAAAAGCCTGTATCCGGCACCTGTGACTGATGAAAGGGGCCAGTAGTCAGTGAGTTAACCATTTCCATAGTTGCTCTGCCAACTAGTTTGTAAAAAACGTAATGTTTTTGAGGGAATGGGGAGCTAGTTTTCTATAGAAAAATATGTATTCTCCTTTTTCTCGTATTGCACCACATGGACTTGCTGATATGAAGAAAAATTGTGCAATGAGAATGAAGTCTGTTAGTCCATTGGACTGATTTTTTTTTTATGCAGGTCTATTTTGAATGGCTAGGACTAGGCGTTGGTGAAAGTAAAAAGGTAGCCTATGTGTAAAGAGATTGGAGGGGGGGGGGGTAATTTTCCAATGCCCGCCGTCTTGACACGCTGTGTCAATAAAGTTTGTTTTTAGATTTTGAAAAATTGACCGCTATGCTGGCGACCCCTGCCTCCTTCAATTAGGTACCAGAAACTAAATTTTCAAACTAGCTGTATGCCAAATGTGTCTGTTCCATTTGAAAGGCCTATATCCACTGAGCATTTTGGTACCATTCTTTAACATCTCCGTCAATTTTTAAGAAAATTGTAGTTGTTTAAAATTTGATCAAATTTGTTGAAGTCAGTCACAGGCTGCAACCCCATGTTTGACAGACAATAAAAGAGTACCAAGTGCACTAAACATCTCCACATTAACAGAGTACAATCACTATAACAAATATATGGAGCCTAATTTTTTTCAAGACTGTAAGATCTTTATAAATCAGTATTTTATCGCCTCAAACACGATGATCTGTCGTTATTTAGACAAAAACACCGAGCGTTGACCCCGCCGGCGCCGCACCGGCTCTATACTGTAGTGTACCCCGCGTGCGTGGTCACATGCTTTCCGAGTCTTGCGGAAGGATTGATGAAAAATAATTCCAAGTTAATAACTTTATTCTAATAGAAAATGAACTGATCTTTTAAATGATACCTGTTATAAGTCGGTATTATACATATTTTGTGTAAAAAGGGATCTTTAAACATTTTGACGGTATCTTTAAAAGCTTTCTATAAAGACGCCAAAGGCTAAACTTATATCACGGGAAAGCCCGTTTAAAGCTCTACAGTTCTCCGCCAATGAAAAGACGGTATTTAATCATCCCTCGTTCCGCGAAGCATTTGAATGCATGCGTGTCAATTTTTCAACCGGCCGACCTCGCATTCCGACCGCGAGGGGCTTCGCTTTCGTCGGCGATTCTCCAGCTCCTAATAATCGGACATATAAACAACTTACACCATTGTAACGAGGAAAAGCTGAACTTTTACAAGGTGTACAGCATTTGGTGTTTTATAGCGAAAGAGCAAAGAAACAGCAATCGGAATTACCCCGATTTTACTGATACCACGCGGTCGGAAGGCCGCGGGTGCCTGCGAGGCCGTGTTTACGCTACCTACTTCAATTGCAAATGTCTCGACTTCTATTCAAGATTGATGGATAATTTTAAAATCAAAAGCAAGACATCCATAAGCCCAAATATTTTGGGGGTGCCGGATTCCACTGCGTTTTAACACAGATTTTGTCTGATGGAAGTCTGCTAGTGCTATGTTAAATGTCAGTGTTTCTTGAATGCTTTTCCATGTAGACTGAAAGGTTGTCAGTTTGACCACTTCGTCGGCTGCTTGCACTGTATGGTATGCATTTTATGTATCTTATTTGAATAAACTTGAACTCTTTGAAATGTTTCTTTGTGTTTTGTATTGTACAAATTAGCTATGCAGCCAAATAAATCTCGTGTGTAGTTGGTGGGTGCTCTGGTGTGGTTTGCTTCTTCTTTTCTTTCAAACGTCTATCGTCATTATCTCCCCTCCTTTTTTGTGTTTGTTACTCTCTTGTAACACCTCTAATCTTCGGCACTTATATGACCTTATTGTGTTGCAAGTTCCGTAAAACACTTACTAAAACAAACAAAAACAAAAATAAATCTCACTTGGTGGTATTTACAGTGAAGACTTCTTTTTCTTCCAAAGCAAAAGAAACCTCAAAACTTTGACCTTGAGCATACTGTCCGTAACAAATGTTACTCTGTGCGAGGTGGACTTGAAGACTTCGAGTTCAAGGCATTCAGCCCAAAGCGACAAGCACAAACGTGGGCAAACACATTCATTGATCTTGATGAAAATATGAGAACAATAGATGAGTTTTTGGTGTTTTAAGTAAAAAGCTTTATTCATCATATCTAAAAATGTTTTTCAGCACAAAAGTGACCGCATACAAAAAAATAAACCAGTGAGTTTAAAGAAATTCACAGCACAACAAGTTGAAACTGAACCGTGCCTTAAGCTAAAGTCGGGGGATGAACTGGTCCACTCTAACTCAGGCTCAGAAAATAGAGAGGACCTGTCCTGTTGAAACATTCAAAATTAAAAGCAGCTACCTGGACTACCCACATACAGCCGCACTTGCTCTAACTCCAACAGCCACCTGTCTAGTAAGACAATCAGAATCCCCTGTACAAATAACCACTTCCCACATTCCCCCCTTGCGTTTATTTCTGTTTACTAATGACACTGTCTAAGAGAAACACTTTTCTTCTTGATAGAGGGTGGCTGTTCTGGACAATTTTGACTCCATGTATATAAGTGCCAAGTGAAAAAAGTATGCCCCCTGACAACACTATTAGGTTATGAATGAGGCAGGACCTCCCAATTGAACATCCATCTCCAAAACAACCAAGACAAATGAGTTGAGAGTTATGAAAAATCCACAAAGCAAATTGAGTACAAGAACTAGTCTGGGATTAGAACCATGTTCAACATGATGGTAACAGAGCACCCATGCCAAGTGAGGATTCCATGAAATGAAGGCGACATCGGCCTTTAGTCTGCTCACGACAACAGCAAGGGACAGGTTTAGATTGCTATCCCGCTCCTCCGCTTCTCCAGGTTGATGATCTGTAACGAAACAAAAGTACAAACAAAATGTTACTGCAGCCTTGTTCATTGACACTGTTAACATACAAGACTACAGGCAAACCTTGTTATAGTTACAGGCTAACTATACGCTCCATCCCGTTATATCACAACTTACCACCAGATTTTACCAAAGCACAAAAAAGATCACCTGTATAAAATTTTTAAAACTCCCCTTCAGACTGCCAAGCTCTCCTTACTAAACTACAAGTAGTACAAGTAAAGTAAATTTGCCCCCACAACACCATCAGAGGTGCCCTACACAGTGCACAACACCCAGTTTGCAGCTGCGCAGTGTTACTGTGTTAGCCTCCCTTTCTCCCACATTTTCCAAGCACAGACGACACAACAGAATCATTTCCCTTGATGTTGGGCTGTCGAATCTATTAAACTTTTAATAGAGGACAGCATTTGAACCCTGTTGTACCGCCAGCCCCGCTATACTATACCAAATTACCATCAATTTCATGCTTCCCAAAGTTGGAGGCATAAGTTGGCATAACTGATGCGAGGTTTGACTGTACACTACTAAAGGGCCTATTACTGTTGTTCAAGCCGACCGGACAGGTTTCTGGGCCGTATGGCCAATTGTAACCTGTGATAAGAAATGCGGCTCAAACCGTAGGCAAACATCTGGCGAATGGGAAAAACCCACAGCCGCTGCCTGTGAATTTGACGTCCGGCCATCCGGCCTTTTAATAAGTTCGCTGCGCCCGGGACAACTGAACTAATTTTTAAATTATAGAAAATCAAGTGAATTAAAAAATAATACCAGATTCAGAATCAGCGTATCAAAATTAGAGTAATGGCTCCAGAGTGACTCGTTTCGTTTTGTATATTTAAGGATTTTCCATTCCAGCACATTTTTATGTTTTACGCGCCATGATGCACACTCGAGTGTGAAGTTTCACCCAGACTAGGCCTAGTGTGTAGAATATGTTGCTTGCAAGGTCGATCGTGGCGTGTAATAATCAAGCAAGTTTCCTCGATTTCATCTGTTCGGCCAAAAACCTGTGCGGTCGGCCTGTACGTGTAATAGTAATAGGCCCTTAACAAAAGCATAATATGATGAAAAACTATAAAAAGTATTCATTGCTGGAAGGAGAGAAAATAATGGAATAATTTAGATAGAGATGTAGCAGGAAAAGTTGAAAGGTATCTTAAGAATAATGTCCTGGAATAAAACTGAAACTGAAACTTGATCGGCGCTTGCCAACCTGGGCAATATCGCCTACTGGGGTGTGTAATTTGATCATTTTGGTGGGCAGTGGGGATCACCTGGGTGGTGACAGGTATTATTTATAATTTGTAATGCCCTGCTGACTTGGAAATACATGTAGGTTGATCAAGAAGGTACGCAAATTTTAGTTTTAGCCTTTTAAATGTGGCAAAAGTGGGCACTGGCTATAAAAAGAGTGACAATGACAAGCTCTAATGGTGCACATCAAAGTAGCCTCCAGCAAAGTTTAAAAGAAAGCTCACAGCTGTGACTTCCCAAAACCTCAGAGCTGTATAGCAGGAAATTCCTCCTGTCCACATTTCTGTAATTAAACAAAAGTTCACGTTCTCCATTCTTTCTGCCCAAGGTTAATTTATAATACAGTAAAGTCCACTAATCTCGAACATAATGCTCGGCCCTCTTTCAGTCTCTGTTTTCTTTGTATTGACTTCACAGAGTTCCTGACTACGTAACACTCAATTGTCGAACATATCCACATCGCATTCTCAACTAAAGACCCGGCTGTACAGCCTATCTGGCCACGGGTAGGTGTTTCTTTGTTACTGTAGCAGCCAAAACAAGGTAGCTCTACTTGTCTCACCACGAGAGGCTGCAGAAAAGGGGGATGGGGAGAGGAGGGTCAGTAAGTGATGCTAAACGCACCGCAGGACTGGCTCGCCACGCGTGCAGTCATGCTGTGTGTGGGACGCGTGCTGTGCGGATGGCAAGAGGCGTAACTTTCTGTAAGCCAATGAAATGAGAGGAAAGGAATAGCGTAGGAGTTGGCTGTGCACACGTGAGATTTCCGCTTTCCATTTTCATTCATCTTCTTGCTTTCACACCATCAACACGTTCATCAAGGACGCTAACCACATTAATTGTTTTGATCCTTTCACCCTCAGAGCTATCCCTGCTGAAATTCTGGCAAAGGGGACATAACTCCGCTTAGACTGCATGACTATAATCTTTCAAAAATCATTAAAAATCAGAGCATGAGTCTAAAATTAGTTTAAGTGTCAGAGCACAGATTATAAATGAATAAACGACAAGAAAATGTATGGTTCTGTATGAAAAATCATTGTGTACTAGGTAAAAAAAAAAATTCGAAGTGAAAAAAAAACAACCCAAAAAGACACAACCCGCTTTTTATGAACGAAGAAGTTCATGATGTTTCACCCAGCACAGTCTTTTGCGCAGCCTATAAATTGCATCCTGTCACTGTCTCATTCGCTCTGCCAAGCTTGGTAAAGTTTCTGATCTTAACACAATAGTTGCACGACCCCTTCTTTCCAAGCATCCTGATCACGACGTGCTCAAAATGATTTGTTGTGGGTTGTCACAGTCCCAGTGTTGCTCCTCCCTTTTTTTACGTAGTAGTAAAGCTAGTAGGTAGTACTAGATCTAGCTAAAGTGCTGTGAGTGCTAGGCCTTCTATCTTCTTCATCAGGGTCTTCTAAATCATCACCTCCAGCAACGATCTCACAATCAATATCACTCTCATAGTTGTTCCCCTCCCCTAGAGCCTAGATCTAGATCTAGATCTGTGACTTGGTGTTCGTTCTCCTAGTCAGGCTAGTTCTTGCTCTCACTCTCATGAATGAGTGTCTGAGTGATGACTTGTAGTACTAGCACTAGATCTAGCCCCTTGGTTGACGATATCGACACTTAAATCCCAATTATAAGTGTCTCCATCGTATACAGTGCCTGTAGCGATGCCAAATTTCGTCCACGAAGTTACATTTAAGTCTCCAAAAAGCACGAAATTTAAAAAATCATCGCTCTCACGTTCTTCGATCAACTTTCACCCAATAAATATGACAGTAAAGGGCAACCACCTCTAAATTCTCGCTAAAAGCTTGGCAATCTCGTGCGACCTTGCAGGAAGCGAGACAACGTAGAAGCGAAAGTAGTGTAAACGGATGAATTGAGTGGGCGTATCAGCGCACATCTGCGACAACGGGGGTTAGCGATGACGGCGCACATCGGCGCCTCCGAGTGGCAAAAGGTTAATGTTCTTTTTTTACCTCCCTTATTTTTCTCTATTTCTTTGTATTTGGGGCTTTCACAGACATGACGAATTACGGAAATCTCGAACACTATTTCCAATCCTTGATGAATTGGAGTTATCCGTGTTTGACTGTGTGTAAAAAAACAAAAAAAACCAGTGAAATTGGACAAATGGAGTGACAAGGAAAGACAAAAGTCACATCTTGAAAGAAAAAAAATGAAACAAAAATTTCAATTCACTTACTTTTGTGGGTAGCCTTAGGGGATCTAGCGTAGGCACTAAAATTGGAACTAAACTCATCATTATCTAATCTTTACGAGATCTATACCAATACCATCATCATCACCATCACCTTTATCTTATTTCTGAACACATATTGCCATCTTTCTTCAGCAATGGCAATTACAGCAGCAGAAACTTTAAAGTAATTTTTTTTACCCCCCCCCGGGGGGGGGGGGGGGGGGGGGGGGGGAGGGAGAAAGACAAAAATTTCACTTACTTGTTGAACTTGACTGTAGACAACATTTTTCATTTCCTCTGTCAGGTTTTGAGAGTTGGGAAGAGTCTATTAGAAAGAGACAGGAATGAATGGTTAATATGATTAAACCTCTAAATGTTGGAGGGCCGATCTAATCAGCCGTGGATTCCTAGCTGCAGTGTCATAGCCGAGTTAATCAGCCACAACTCCGTCTACAACTGTGCTCTAAGACACTATTTCAAATCCATTCTCCAATTTTTAAATTACAAAATCAGTCTGTTTGAATGCAAAAGAATTTCATTCATTAAGTTTAAAGGAAAACGTGTATGCACAAAAGAGGTGAGATTTTGCCACATGTACAGATTAAGAACACAACAGCATGCGAAAAAAAAAAGAGCAACCACGCCAGACCACATCAGCAGCCAACGATAGACAATACAAACAAATGACAAAAAGTATGAACTACAGTTGAGAATGAGAAGAGAGAAAAGAGTTGTCAGGTTAGAACCCCATTCCTGGAATTATGACCATCAAAGGGATAGTTAAGTTTCAGTAAGAGTTTTACAGCACTTGCAATAAAAATAGTAGATTGGTCATACAAGCGTCGAAGAATCAAGGTGTTATTAACTGTTACTTAACAAACAAAGAAAAGAAGGAGGAGAGATAAGGACGATAGATGTTTGATTGGAAAGGAGCAAACCATACCAGAATATTTGCCAACCATACGCTACAACACTAATAATAGTAATAATATAGATGATTTTGTACGCTACAACACTAATAATAGTAATAATATAGATGATTTTTATAGCGCCTACTCCCATGTGCAGATAATTCTTCGCACTTTACATAAAAATCCAAGTAGAAATTCATAACTGAACAATATTTGTATTATGTAGGATTACAATCTTATGAAAAGAGAGAACAACGATGTTCTTCAGTCCTACCTTCAGCAGCACCAGACTGACATTGAACACATTCCTCAGACACGCTGCATGAATGGGGTTGTCTTTCCCGACACCTTTCTCCTCCAAAGCTGTGACAATTATTTTCTGAAGTCTCTGGAACATTAACAGGGGAAAAAAATATCGAATCAATACAACATCTGTTGGCCAACTCCTTTTTTAAATCAAATGCTTAAAAAATACCCTCAAGAAACATTTGACACGCCACGATATTTGGCACATTATATCAAATTAAGATAAATAATGGTATCGGTACCAGAAGAAAGCCGTGATGGACCATAATTCAGTGTTTTCTACCAGACTAGACCTTGCAGTCAGGAAAAAGACCCATGATAAATCTAAAAGAAGAGAAAAGTCTATATTTTCTATATATTTCCATGTACCATTACAAATCTCAATACAGTCCATGCCGGCTTTAAGCACGGTCATCGGGAGAAAGCATAAGCGTGCTTAATGCCGAAGCGTGCTTGAGTGCGAAGTAGACATTGTTCATACATAATCCAGAGATTTTTAAGTTGAAAATTTCCTTAGTTATTACCCTTTGTTCGTTAGCAGTGGTCGCGCAAAAGTGGGCGCTGTCATTTTTACCCACCATGGTAGTTTTTGTTTGATTGTTTCGTTTTGTGGTTAAATCAACGTAGTTGAGTATCTTTGGTCGAATGGGAAAGGAAAACTTAATTTAGACGGCCAGTCACGGTACAGCACACTAGGCCTAGGCTTACACACTGTCTGTGCGAACCACTGCCTGCTGTGCCACATTCATCTCACCTCGCGCATGATACATTATCAGGATTATCGGATAGCGAGGGGCAAAGGTGAAATCGCAGCCAGCCTCCTTTTTTCGTCACCCCGTCTCTCTTTGTATTTTTTCGTCTGCGTGTAGCTTTATTCCAGGCTAGAGATCCTTTGTCCATGTGCACGGCTGTGTGCATCTCTCTGCCTTCCTGTCAGCACGTGTGTGTCCATCAATTGCTTTCTTTGTGTTTCGCTTAACACACTCACAGCTGCGGTGTAGACTGTGTTCGAACTTCGATGGGTCATCATGAAAGTATTGACTGTCTTGTAAATGAAGCATGCCCGAAGCCCAAGTTACCATACTTAAAGGCGTGTAATTTATATGGCAAAAATTTGAGTCCGAAACGTGCTTTATGCCGGCACGGACTGTATCAGCAGTGTAATCAAGTTTCTTTTCTATAGAGTCAAATTGGAAACAAAAGGAACGCCTAATAACCCACATTCCCATCGCAATGTCCAGGCAACATCAATTCAAGAAAGCCACAAACAATTACAGTCCAGCACAGATGACTCAAACACGCCGGGGATTGACAAATGTGTTCGGCACATCCGTAAATTCAGGTTAACTGATATAATGAAATATTAAAGTAAGATATATCAGTCAGGGAATGGCAAATTAAACGAGGCAATAATGTACCATCTTGTGTCTTCTGAACATTTCAGCATTAACACCTTTTCATCTTTAATTTCTAAACAAAGTTAGCAAATAAAAATAGACTGACGCAATAACATTCCACCTTGTGACTTTCAGAACATCATTTTTTTATACTGAGTCACTTCCATCTGCAGACTTCAACATAAGTTAAGGACCACTTACAAACACTCTGAGTGGTCTTCTTGAGTGGACCTGCACGTGCGCGTTCTTGGACTGATCCAGTGGCTTGATGGTGTTGCCTCAGGCGGGCAATGACAGAGTGTGACACTGCAAGCCTTCTGGTAACTTCTCAGGCTCCAACTCCATCCTGCAGTCATGCCATAGCTCTGGCATGATCAAAGTCTCTCAGCTTTCGCCTCGGTGGCATATTGATGCGATACTGGATTTTGCAAAAACAGACGCTTATATTGCCACCAAAGAGAGCACAGTTCGAGAACGTACGTCCGTTTATGACATGCACCAGAAATTTTAACAGAGGAATGTCCCTGTTGTGCCACAAAAGTTGATAAAGAACAGCAAATTTGGCTAAAATTCTCCGAGGATTTCCGCGCTGCACATGGTGGTTTTGCTCCTGTATAGACCTGCATGTGAGCCTCAACCAGATTGTCTGAAAATTTTGCGCACCCCCCCCCAAAAAAAAGCCTTTGTGGGTGTCATAAGGAAGGACATCCGAGTAACGAGCGACGCCACCCCAACAAACACAATAAAGAAGAGACCTAACCCTAACCCTAACCCCAAAAAGAACCTGCAACGGGCCTCATGTAAAAAGGCCAAAACAAGTCCTAAATGAAAAAAATATTTAAAATTAAAAAACCACACTCCAAAACAAACAAGGAGCATATAGATCTAGATCTAGATCTATATATATGGCTTACATCTACATTGCTGTAGGGTTTGATACAATACAATAGAATAGGAATATGAATCCTCCATATCGCTTGTGGAGTGATGAAACCTCGTAACCCCAGAAAGGAAAATTTTACAGGAGAGACAAAAAACTGATTTACTCTTGAATAAAATGACCTATACGAACCAAAGTCGGTACAGATAAATTGTTTTGTTTGTTTAGTATAGGGTTTTACGGCACTCGCAACTGCATACGGTCATATGAGCGCGCGGGACACACCTAATATTTTCAGTTGGTAGGAAATTTGGAATTTTGCCCGGGTGGCGGCCGAAGCCTACTCTTGTCGATTTTAGACCACCAAGGGATCTTTAACGTGCGCAACTTGCACACGGGCCCTCCGAGATTTTTCGCCCTTGTCCGAGAAGGCTAGGTGTAGATCTTTCCTACCAGAAGATCAGGGGTATGGCAGAAAGACAGCAGTTAGGAGGAGCCAAGGAATAGCAGTAGAAAGGCTGCAGAAAGAGTCAGGAGCCCAGAGGAGGGGGCAAAGGAGGTGAGGGGGTGGGGGCAGAAAGTGGAAATGAAAGCAGACAACAGAACATTGTTAGAGATCAGGAAAGGATGTGAAAGGAGACAATTTTAGAGAAGAAAATTTTTTGGTCGCTACCCGGAATCGAACCCGGGACCTTTGAATGAGAGGCCAACACCTTAACCTCTAGGCCACGAGAGCCCCCCGTACAGATAAATGAAAACACCTTAGAAACGTGGTTAGTACATAAAAATTACTTTTCTATTGTTTATGTGGTTACACTGTGGGATGCGAGGTTTCATTACAACATTTTTGTCGTGATGAAACCTCGTAGTCAGCCGGCGGGAGGGTTGCGAGGTTTCATCAGGACAGACTTTGGGGGTTGTGAGTTTTCTCTCTGCTCATTTTGGTTGCAATATGCGTTTGTTGTTTGAAACGCCACAAAGTGATAAAGATGTTTTTTCAAGACCAATTAGTTTGGAGTTTGATTCCCGGCCAACTGAAGTCAAATAAATGTGTGTTACATGCAGAATTTATGTTTGAACCCTCAAACGGATTGCAATGAATGCAATTTGTTTCACTATATTTTGCCAAGATTAGATCTGGTTACTTCCAGTTTTACTAAAGAGCACAAATGAATAATAAATCTTTGCAATATGGTCTCTGTTTGCACTACAGATGGTTTTCATAAGAGATGTTGAATCATAATGAACAGCCATAAATGTTAATGGTAGTAATTATCATAAAGTGACGATGCATATTGGGAATAACAGATTTAAGCACCTGTAGGTGATTGTACTTGAAATGCTGGAACTTAAAACGTTTTTTGTGAGGTAGGGTGGACCGTATGTTTCTGTGTCCTGCCTTCGGAAAGTCAGCCTATTCATCACTGAGGTGCAGCTTGAACTGGATGTTCATGTCTGGGATGTACTTCAAACACCTGACAACAGGATCACCCGTTTTTCTACCTAGTCTTATAGACTTGTCGTAGCTTCCACACTTAGAATATTCCTTGAAGAATGAGTGATCCAACTGTTTGTTTTGATAAGTTTCTTGTTTTGCTCTTGCCATCCTGAAGAAATGGAGGTAGTCTTGGAAGACCTCGATGCGTGTTTTTCGAAGCGATCTCTAGTTGAGTTCACACTGTTAATTTCCATTTGAGTGTGTCCTTTGATAAAATGTTTTTGTTCAATTGGGCTTCCATGTGTTGTTGAAAACAGGCTGAGAGAAACATTTGTTAGTGTGGCATTTCTGTAGTGGTAACCACAGTTGTCGCTGTCGATGATGGTTTTCTGGAGGTCCAGCTTTTCCTTCAGGAAATCCAATACACATGAAGCTAACTCATTTGCCATAAGTCACCCTTCTGCTTCATGACACACGTAACAAGTAGTCTGGCGTGTTGCAGCATCCAATAGCGTAAAGTTATGAACGGCGAGTTTTGTTTTGTAATATAAGGCTGATGCTGAAGATCCATTGAAAGTACGGCCGTTTTAGGTTCATTACTGGTGAGAGATTTGATGGCTTCAGATTTATCTCGTTCCTTTTCTTTGCGCGCTGCCTCCTTTTCTAGAATGTGAGCATTCCAAAGATCCTCCAGCGCATTGTGAACTTCACGACTAATGCAAAGGTGGTACATATCTATCTTTGACAGGAACAGCGACACGTTATTCTGCTTGAATCCTTCATCGAGGGCGGGTCTTTTGAGAGGCCGCCTCCAGTGGTCTTGGCAGACTTGTGCATATATTTTGTAGATATCTGAGTTACTTTGATAATTATTGGTTCTAAATGTTTCTTACACATCATTCATCCAACCCAGTTCAATTCAGGAACACCTTTTAACACACTGGCACCTTATGGCCACCTTTGAAAAGTGTTTATTGAAGGTATTCCCTCTCTGGTTAGTCTCTGAATACCTCCTCTGAGGTCCACTAGTCTTCCCATGAGAGGGACCACACTAAATCAAAATTAGAATGTCTATCAACTTCAGAGAGCCCTTTATATTTCAGAGTCCAGCTCTTGCAATCACAGATTGGTTTCAATAACTTAGCTGGGCTTTTCATTGAACCATTATGTATTCCGATCCTGTCCCGATCCACAGATAGCTTTTCGCTTATTTGTTGCCACTTCTTAAAACCCTTTCTTTTCCTCTGTGGAGCATCATTTATGCTGGCATAACAAATGAGCTGTGTCTCGGGATCAGGCTCCAGGAAAAGTGGCTAAGGTGCCTGAATATGGTCTACAGATTGTGTTGCTGTGACCTCGAAGGTAATAATTCAGCATCTGACTTACAGCTGCCTGGTGAAACGTCAGTATGGTTTGAGGTATGATTCCAGGCGACACTGGTGTTGGTGCAGACTCAGTCTGGGATGATGCTGATACTTCCTTGTCTCCACATATCAGGGACAGCCCTGGAAAGGACTGCGACATGGTGGCTGGGGTCAATTCATTGAACGTGGTCTGCTCAGTGGTTTCCGAACCAGCCTTTGTAGGGTATAAAGATCTAGTTGATGAGCACAGTTAGAAGGAGATATTCAATACAGATTCGGAAATGTCCGTATTAATTGTGTTATTGGGGCACAAATTTGTCACAATGTCCTCTGAAGACTTCAGAGTCATCAAGACCATAGTTAAGTTCAGTACTATTCGGTCTCAACCACAACTGGAGGATTCGACTACACAGCGGATTCATAGTCTGAGAAGATGCAAAACCTTACCCTCTCTTTGATAAACAGAATGGCCTGTTGACATCTGGAGAGTGCACAGATCTGTCACCTAGTCTAAGTAAGGACTACCGTCACCTGTCATTTCAAGGTGTGACTGTTGCCTTAACTTAAATGTTAACTACGTTTGTGCTCGATGAGAACATCTTGATTATCAGCAAGTTAGTCATCCTTATGAATGGATTTTTAAAATAGATTTACACAATGTTAGTACTTCACTTATGGCCATATTTGAACTTCTGAACTGACTGAAATAAAGTGAATGAATAAAAGAATGAATGAATGTATGGATGAATCATGAATGAAGGAATGAAATATTTCTTTATTCCGTCAGATACATTAAATACACTAGACAATGTCAGTTATGAGCGCTTCAATTAAGCCGGTTCTTATAGAAGGCTTGTCCAGAGCCTCATATAAGCACACCGCTCTCTCAAACCGGGAGTGATGAAACCACGCAAAAGCAGATCGGCGCACCAGGTGAGGGTTGCGAGGTTTCATCACGCCAGGATATCATGGGGGCAAACATACGAGGTTTTCTTATTAAGTATTTTTCATACTTTCTCTTACTAATATGACCTAGTGCTTTTGACACATTGTGAAGAAGGACTGGGAGAAGACATTAAGCCAAAAAAACGAATTTCGAAAAAATTGAGGGTAATGAGGTTTCATCACTCCACCAGCGATATATATCTAGATATATAGTAATCTTAATAAATCTAGATCTAGATCTTGTTGAACAAGTGAATAGGAAGAGGCCTTAAACTAGAAATCCGCATCCGATACCGAACAGAAGGACTCGGCCGAGTCTAGATTCTAAATAAATAAATAATTCACGCACCTGATGAAATGCTTATTTTTACCAATATTAATATTACAGCACAACCTATGAAAGGGTTTGACGCAATAGAATTGGAATATGAATCCTCCATTGAGGTCTATAATGATCTATATTATATAAATTTAGATCTAGATCTAGATTCTATTAGAACAAGTGAGTCGGACTTGAATCCACACGATCTGAACAATTGAATTAGTGAACAAAACGAAATTCAAAATGGCCGCTCGAGCACGAAACTGAAAGTAGATAACTTAGGTCGTCGTCCTTTTTCGTATTCGCATTTCTACTCAGGTTCCGACAATTATGTCGGAAACGCCGACGTCGGCAGTCGGCGGTGCGCGCGTCGGCGGTCGGCACGAAAACGAAAGTGCCGACAAAGCCGACGGGAGAAAAGGGGGACGCTGGCAGTCGGCCAGGCCTCGCACTACGCACATTGACTGGTGTGACTGATACAGGTGGGCCTAGCGATAGCATCGGCCGCCTCACGGGTCGCGTCGCAATTGTCGGATTTCAGACGATTGTCGGCAAACATGCAGGTCTATCCTGTAGGAAGCTTTGCAGTACGCACTGTTAACCCATTAAAACTTTCAGAGCTGAAACATTCCTTGCTGTCTTTTTTTTCAGATTCTAAAAAATTAGGACTGTCTGTCAAGGTGGTCCAAAACGTATGTTAAAATCTGTAGTCTTAGCAAACAAAAACAGACTGACGCAACAACGTACCATCTTGTGTCTTTCAGAACGCTTTAGCTTTGACGCCTTTTTGTCCTCAACCTCCCTCCTCACGGAAGTGGCACTGGCTGTCGGTTTCGCGGGTGTTTCCTGCTCGCTGGAACTATTCAACCTCTGACCAGCACCCGGTGCAGCCTCACCACTTGAGGAAACTCGGAATGTCTGATCTGGTCTCCTCCCACTGCCTGCACTCACAGTCCGAGAGGGCTTTGATTTGCCTGAGGAAACCATGTCTCAAAAATGTACTGTCAGGAAGAGAAAAGAGGTTAAAGAAATATTTATAAATTTAAATTAATGAAGGTAATTTTACAACTCACTGACACAATTTAGATTTTATTGAGAATGTAGGCGCCTTTACATCGAAACAAATTAGATCAATTAGGAAGTCTTGTGATTTCTTTTCTCTATGACCTATACAAAACAGGCATGATCTAAAAAATCTCAGAACGATGTCACAACTCACTCTCACTAGTCTCACTACCTGAACTGTTGCCTCCCTCATGATCTCTGGCCGGAGCTCCGAACAGTTTCCTCGGCGATCTGCGAACCGGTAGGTCCTGATGGATGCTGGAAGGAATAGTTCTGAGAACTGGGCTGCCCGACGACAAACTCTGGTCTCCTTCTGAACTGAAATCTTCACTAAGAGTCAATCGATTTCTGCTGGTTTTACTGCCAAACTTGGAAGAATTCTCCGGAAAGTCACCAGAGGAACAGACAGCTAAGGTAGACCGCCTGACACGGGACTGGACTGGTCCTATAGACTGCCCCCTACCAGCACTTGTTTCTTGAAATGTGGAATTATGGGACGAAAAAGAATTTTCCCTTGCTCGAGAATTGGACTTAAGTTTCCGTGGACTTCGCCTCACTAATGGCAAAGAGGATGATAATGACGACAGAGATGACGATGATGCAGAAGCAAAAGGTGACAGCAGGGCTCTTCTTTTTGCTGTAGTTTCTTGGGAGACTCTTGGAGTCGATGCCATCGAGGAGGGCAATCTCTTGTGGGGGCTACGGCTGTAAGGGCGAGCTCTTGGCTGCTTGAACGTACTATCCATTTGACCCAGTTTTTTCGGAGCAGCACTATCAAGGGAAAAAAAAAAGCTGTTTGAAATATTTGTCATCTAGACCAACACAATTTGATATCAATCACAACAGCTGACAAAAATCCTTGTGGAACAAGACTAGCAAAACTTGTTTTTAAACGTGTACGGTTATTTAGGTTTTATTTTCACTTCACCACATCTTCAAAAATTAACACACGACCATTTCTGGTCAATTTGCACCATTCAAAAACTCAAAGAAAGAAAGACAACTTCCCTTTCCCTTTATAACCTCATTTTTCAATCAATTCTAACCAGACTTCCTGCCTAGGCTGAAAGGAAAAACAAAACCATCAGTTGTGTTACAGGAGCATGTTTGGTGATACATGGCCACTGCAAGAGTTTACCGATATTGGCAATTGCAAGGGTGAAATGGTTAAGCAACAACAGAAGCAGCATCTGAATACAGTAGTCTCCGCCTAAACGCACACCATACAAAAGCCCGCTCCGTCAAATGCACGATTTCGTCATCTGACGGGTTTTTTACTATATAATTTAGACATACAAACACACGGTCACTCCCTCTAAACGTACGCTCCAATCTGCAAAAAACGGCGACAGGTAAAGCTTGACAACGTGGAATTTTCAGTACAGCCTGCAAATCTTGCATAGACAAGCCTAGAAAATCGGATATTCGGTGAGACTGCCCCTCATGCCGAACAAAGAGAGCGATGGGCAGCGTTCTCACACCCAACTTTCCAGACACATAGGTCTAGGTTTCGGTCTATGGCTGGTCTGTGAAATGTTGGGGGGGGGGGTCTGAACTGTTGGGTTTTTTTATTGGTCACAGCGAATGCATCTTTGAGAGAAGGTTTCTGACGGGTGTTTGGGTGACTGCATGTAATGTTTTGGTTAGACCTAGGCCTGATGCGCAACACGCGAGAATGCTGTAAAACACTAGACAGGCCTCTAGTTCCATAGGATTTAAGATAGCCAAGTAAGCCTAATCAGCTGCGCTCGAAGAACTTATATTCTTATAACGCACTTGTTCAATGAAACACTAGAGAAATGTTTCTCTAAATGAAGAGATCTATGATTCTGATGTCGTCCATGAATTTATGGTCAAGGTGGTCGCTTGGAAATCCACGTGGCTGAGCCGTCGTCTCTAAGACTATCTCAAACAGTTTCCTCTTAGGCTATCTGTTTCTGACATTTTATAGTGCATATTCATTACATTGAGTCTGTCTTTCTCTCCCCCCCCCCCCCTCCCCCCATTCAACGCCCTTGTATTCCTAATCACAGTCGGGGAATCCTTCACAAAACAGTCACATTATCGGCCAAAGTGACCCCCTCCCCAAAGGGAGGTCACTAGAATATCACGGCAATGAAATGACTGCGTCCCTTCCTCCCTTTACAAACGTTCATGTAAACGCATGCTCCGTATAAACACACGCTAAGGAGCCCTCCCGAGCACCGTGCGTTTAGGCGGAGATTACTGTACAGATTCAGTATTCAATCAGGTTTGCCAACTTTTTCAAAACCCCATCAGGGATACCTAATGTTATAATATAACTTCAGATTACCAAACAACAAACAAAATTACTTAAAGTGAGACTGGTTTCCCCGATTACCCAATCCAGGGCAGTCCTGCGACTTTGGGGACAGTTGGCATTTACTCAGATTGAAACCAAACCGATGACTCGAATATTTTCCTGTTACCAACCTCTGACAGACTTCTGACTTGCTTCTGGTCATCAACAACGTTGAGTGACACACAGGAGACTCAGATCTCCGTAACTCCAACTTTTTCTTCTTCTTCGGAGAGACGAAAGAACTGCAGGTGTCGTTAAAGTAACCTTTATCACGCACTCGAGCATATCTGCGTTCAAATTTTAAATCCTCTTCTGAGCTGTAGTAACTGAAAAGACACAAAATTACAATTTAGGTTCTTAAGTTGAACAACCTACTTCAATTTTATTATAACAATAACATCGTGCAAATATAACAATTCCAATAAGTGTCAAAGATGATTTATAAATTTCATTAGAAAAAGTATAGCTGTAAAGGGAAGTGTAATTGTAATTCTATGTAAAACATGTCCACAGGAAGCTCCCTTCCCAACCATGACAGTTTAAGAAAATAACTAATGTAGCTGTTTTAATCCCCCCATAAACACAATTTTGATTATTTAGGAGGCAGGCTTCCAACCCAGGTTAAGAGGGACAACATCCCGGCAGAAAGACTGAGATGCTTGATAAAAATTTCTCCGAACTCACAAATCAAAAACGCATCCAAATGTTATCATATTGTCATTGTAAAATAACCATCACATGATAAAAGTGTATGTCTGAGCAGAGCATGCCTGTGATCGGAGTGCGTTTATGCAGAGAGCACTGGACAAATTACAGACTTTTATGAGTATTCATAAACATAGTATAGTCGAACCTGCTCTAGAAGCCACTTGCCCAAGACAATTACCTGTACAATCAACCACATCCCATTCGCCCCCTTACGTTTTTTTCTAAATTATAATACCATTGTCCAAGATGTCCATATATATGGCTTAAATAACCACTTTTCTTATTCTTGAGAATTGGTAGTGGTCCTGGACAATTTTAACAATAGATTACGATTTAAATATAGAAAGCATAAAACTCTGCCATTCAGATTTAAAATCACATAACAGGGATAATGTAACACAGAAAGCATAGAATCTCCCCATCAAGACTGACAACCCCAGATGTGAGAATAGATGATTTAACAAGAAAAAGAAAACTAGTAACCATAGACTTGTTTTATAACTCCATACCAGGCACTCCTGACACACAGTCAAACCCGTTGCACCCCTCCCCCCCCCCCCCCCTTCACTATGGAACACACTATTTGACTCTATCTGAAACCAAAAGAAGGCTAAGGGGAGAAAAGTCGGTCATTGCACTCAACTAAAGCGAGATTTGTGTTTCGCCTTTCATTTGCACACATCTATGGTGCATATTTTTATACAGAGCAAAAAGTCGCAACCATGACAGTACCCAGTCTTGTATATTATAACTCAGGTCTACGCAAGCGACTCACTACACGTCGTGGAACATCATGGACTGACTGTCGGGCCATGGGGTCCTCAGGTCACACTGGCTGTCCACACGGCACAGATTTCTACCCGCCTGGAAGAAAACATGTGTAACAGTTACAGGCTCTAAAAGAAATTTCTTTTTTTTAAAGATGTAGTGAAGGTGTTTTTATACGCCCATTGACACAAGTTAAATCATTTAAGAGGCAAGCTTCCAACACTGCCTGTCAGGGTCAACCTGGGCTGAGAGGGATACAGCATACCAACAGAAAGAACGAGGTAGTCAATAAAAATTCAAAGTGTAAACAGGTGTCCCTATAAATAATTAAATTTTTTAAAACATAGTTGCTCCGTCCACTAGGCAATTTTTATTGAATTTGTTTTTACAAAACAGCCAAAAGAGTAGATCAGAACACTGTACTGCACCCTGTACTGTGTTATGTGCTAGTCAAGGGAAGTGAGAAAAACCCAGTATCGGTGACATCAGGAAACACACTATATGCTCTTGTTTTAGTTTTAATAAGGTTTTACGGCGCACACAACTACATAAGGTCATATAAGCATCAAGGGGTGGATGTCAACAGAGAAGTCCAAACAGGGAATCAGGTTTACTCTGCTCACCTCTCTAGCCTCAACAGCACAACGTCTGCTTCAACTATCAAGGCACCCCGGAAATAGCAGTTCACATGAGAATGACAAACATACAAAAGAAGTACAGGAAAAGTGACAAGCGTACAGATGAGGCAAGAAAAAGCAGCAGTTCCCCCTATGTTGTTCTGGCACAGTATGAGCATGACATAGACAAATCAGCCCATTTACAATTCTGCTCTGCATGAGAACATGCAAATATCCCCCTTTGGGAAAGGCCTAAAGACACTTCAGTCAGTAGCACTGCCCTGGGGGGGCTCACTTGCTCTTGCAATAACATTAGAGACAATAGACTAGGCCATGGCAACTGAAGGATCCTTGCGTCACTTGGTCTACACTGTGAACACCCACTGATATCTGTGATAAAAGTAGTCAAACAGTACACTGGTAATGCTTCTCTCTGGCCTGCAATCAACACACACGCATTCTTGTGCCTCTCTCTGTTTTGTTATCTTGTGGCGCAAAAGATTTAATTTGAGAAACCCGAGGGTTGCTGGTGAAGATTAAGTAGAAATAACCTTCAGAATTCTTTTCAGTATAAAAATGCGTGCCTTTCAGATTATCGGTAGTTTTCTTACAACTGCCCTCTTTGGTTTAATTGTGTTTGGACTCCACTGAATGCATTATAAAATAAAAATATATATATACTGACCAACTTGACCGCCCCAGGAGGAGCTTCCATCTGTAAGTCTTCTTTCTTCAGTAGGCTCAGAACTTCGTCAATGGTGAAATGCCCCGGTGATGCTGTAGAATAGTTCAGAAAATTATATATACAGTCGAACCTGCCATGACGGTCACCTCTATAAGACAGCCACCAGTACAAACGGCCACTTTCCACTTCCCCCCTTGCGCTTTTTTCTATATAATTTAACTGTGTAAAACGGACACCTGTCCAACGCGGCCGCGGCCACCATATTTTAACACACAACACCTATTACACCAAAAAATAACCCATCTTAGATGGCCACCTTAGTGACTCCATTATGGTTTGTCATAAATCATGCATTGGCCCCTGGCGCGGTGGGCAAGCCGTCATAATCCAATCACCTGTCGTTGTGGTGTAGGCCCCCCGGCCCCTCCCACTGTTGACCAATAGGTAACAAATTTTCAGCTGCTGGTGAGGTAAATGTGTGATCCCTCATAACGCATAAGCCCCGCCCAGAACTCGTACACAAATCGTAAGTGAGATGAGTGGTCACCGAGACACTGTTTACCCAGTCTGAAACAAAGTAATAATGGACGTCAACATGAACTTGTGACAGAAGCGTCGCTCATTTTCAGAGTGGTGACAACCCATCTATTTGTTTTACCATAGCACTCGGTCTCCTTGTCTGACACATTTTGTTTTATTGTCATCCCTGCACAAAAGCAGCAACAAAATTTTTAAAAAGAAGAAAAAAAAAACCCAGCGAAAGCATCAACAACAACAACTATAAACAACAACTATAAACAACAACTATAACAACAACAACAATGCGGCAACCTAAGAAAGGAAGGGTTTGTTTTCTTTATCTTAATCAGTCCTGCCTAAGACGGCCCACTTCTCTCCTTAATATATATATATATATATGTATGTATATATATATATATATATATATATATATATGGATACAGACCTGCCACTCTATGAAATCTAAAAATCAGGATTTTAGAGTTTAAAAAATCAGGATCAGGTGAAAAATATCAGGATCAACGGCAAATCAGTCATAAGGGGTACAGGGGAAGGGGGATCCTGGTTCCCTTTTATGAGGAAAATATGCAAGAGAAAACTTTTGCAGGAATAAGTTCATGTTTGGGCCACTAAATAGAGGGAAAACTGAAAGACAACATTACTTGAGTCGGAGTGGGATAGAGTGGGGGAGCGCAAATTTCAGTAAAGCTGAAACTCTCGTAGTCTTGAAAATAGCTGACACATAACTCTAATCATCCATGCAAAAAGCCCATGTTTTCATATATAGTAACAACGTTTGACTTCCATCGCATATACACTCAAGGCACCCCCCCCTCCCCCCTGAAAAAAGATTGCGCCAAGGTTGTTCATTTATTTCTTTTTTCTTATTCCTTTATCCTCAATAAGTAGGTTCTACTTGTATCATGGCACGCACTTTAAGCCCAAGTGTCAAAACAATACCCCCACTCGCTCCCCCCGGTCGTCCTGGTTAAGTCTCGAAAAACACCCCGACCAATGCGACCGGCGTGAATGAACTTTGCTGACCCCGACAGCCGACGGTCTCCGACATACGCGCTAATCACACGTACGAGGTCGTGTCACGTGTTGCGAATGAGCGTTTGAAAGTTCCACTGACGGGTCTTGATGATGGGCCCAACTAACCATTTCGGTATCAAACGGAAGAAAAAACATTTTCCAATAACTATGCAAATCAAAATCTCAGCCCCGGAGTCTCGACAAGGCAAGTTAGGGTGGAGCACGTAAGGAAATTCTCGGGCGAGTTAGGGTGTAATGTGTTAAGGGAGATACTAGAGAGTAATATACAGAGAAAAGAAGGATGAGAGATCAAGGTTATAGATGTTTTATAGGAAAAAAGGAGCAAACTACATAGCACCCACCAACCAACCAAACATTCTGTCATTACCAATCAGTCAGTCTACTCACAGCTCTTCTCTTCCTTGAAAGCACAAATCGGCGAGGCCGCGGGGTGGCTGTCCATGGACAGGAAACTCCGCAACTTTCTCGAGGCGACTTCCGCAGCCTCCAGGGCACGTCTCTCCGGGAGAACTGACAGGTCACGCGATGACTCTATGGAAAAACCACAACAGAACATCAATATAGGCATGTTTTTGTCATGACCCTACAGAAAAATCACAACAGAACATCAACATCAACATAGGCATATTTTTGTCTCTTGCCTCTATATTAGGTACTTTCCAAACAGGGTGATCTTCTTCTAGATTAGGTACTTTCTTTCCAAACTGGGTGTGCCCTAAATTTTGTGAGTTCCGCAGGAGTTCATTGATTCCAAGACACTGGTGAAAGAAAGGTGCAGCCAAGGTAAACATCTTATGAAAATAAAAATACGGACTTCTGTTCTGAACCTGTTGTGGTGTGCGTATGAAGGGAAGGAAGCTATGGTATCCTGAAGAGCTTTGCACAAGTCTATCAACGCAAGACTATTACTCCATTCCACATCTGTATGGTCGTCTTGAAAAAAAAAATGTAAGTAAATCCGGTCAGTCCTAAAACACCTATGCCGTGTGGTCTTAAAGAGTAAGAGATAACAAACATATTTTTCATCTGTGAAGAGAATCCATTATCCAAACTTCTCTGAAGTAGGGCCAACTGCCATCAACGCCATCTGGTCTTATTTCAAAACTTCTGTCTAAAGATGACAACCTCAGACTTGCCAACTTTTTCTAACCCCAATCAGGGACATCCAATCTTATAACATAAGATTACACAACAATGAACAACATTCCATCAGCTAGGACTGGTTTTAAGGCAGTGTAGGACATAAATTTTAATGTCCTCCCAAAGTCTCAAGTGCCAAATCAGAGATAAGAGAGATAAGAGATAAGGCTTTATTGTTCCAGAGGGAACTTTTTGGGGGCTGTGCAGGACCTATAAAACACAGGCAGGTATACATAGAAATTAAATCAAATTAATCCGGGACAGTCTTGGGAAATCCTGGACAATTGACAAGTCTACAAACAATGTCTTCCTCCAACCTGGAAAGGGAGCTCTCGTGGCCTAGAGTTTAAGGTGCTCGCCTCTCCTTCAAAGGTCGTGGGTTCGAATCCGGGTAGCGACCGAAAAATTTTCTTCTCTAAAATTGTCTCCTTTCCCCTCCTTTCCTGCTCTCTAGCAATGTTCTGTTTTCTGTTTTCATTTCCACTTTCTGCCCCCCACCCCCTCACCTCCTTTGCCCCCTCCTCTGGGCTCCTGACTCTTTCTGCAGCCTTTCTACTGCTACCCCTTGGCTCCTCCTTACTGCTGTCTTTCTGCCACACCCCTGATCTTCTGGTAGGAAAGATCTACACCTAGCCTTCTCGGACAAGGGCGAAAAATCTCGGAGGGCCCGAGACCTTTGAATGAGAGGCCAACACCTTAACCTCTAGGCCACGAGAGCCCCCTTAAAATACTTAACAAAAAAAACAACAAATAAATACCAACCTGGAATCCACTGTACGTCAAGAGGTACAGAGCCATCAACGCTCTGCTTGGTCATGTATTCTCTCAGTGTGCTGCATCCTTCTCTGGCTTGCCTGAAAATATCTTCATGAGCCGACTGTACACGTTTTTGCTCTTCCTTTCCTCCAGGCTCCTCATCTGTAACAAGGAAACCTGCCCATTATTACTATCTGTCCCCGTTAGATTATGCGATTGTGCGGCCACGGCCGAGCCGCGTTTTTTCGCATAATTCTGCAACATTTGCATTATTTTGGATTCCTCACTTTTTTTTTTTCTTTTGCATTTTTCACAAAACAAACGCCTCGTAATGTGACTAAAGGGAAGTAATCACATTAATAAGTCTCATAAGTGACAAGTTGGTTACTTCCCTTGTTAAAAGATTTTGAGGGTTTAGGGTTGGTTAGGGATTATGTTCTTTGAGCATGTTCAATTTTTTCAATCCATCAAAAGTTGTTCTCATGTCTGCTAATGTTTCATGTTTGACAAGTGTCCCTGGTTTTAGTGATGTGCCAGCATCAGAGGTCCAGATGCCTTTTTTTTCCCCCATTTTTCTTCCTCTGCGCAGCTGACTGAAAGTTACAGAGATTATATTTTTGGGGTTGGTTTTTTTTTCTGACTGATGTGTTTTGTTTTTTTCCAAATACATAAAAAATTTACTGATACTGATATGCTCTGTTTTCAATTCTTCTGTACATAAAACATGAAAATTCTTGTTGAAAAAGTGCAAAGCATGTCGTGAATGGCGTTAAGGTAACTTGCATAATTTTTGCATAATTTTGCATTTGTCTTGCATAATTTGGCCATCTAAATCTGCATAATTCAGCGGGGACAGTACTATGCCCTCAACGGTACGCAAATAATTGGGAAAGAAAGCTTTCAAAATAAGACATATTTGTTTGTAACTTTTAAGCTCATATTGTAGCCATCATTCATTATTGTAGATATGTCAAAATACAATTCAGGAGAAGCAAAAAGCTGTTTCATTTCAAAGAAAAAATAATCTTAGTATAATATATAATAAGATACAATATTTAATTCAATACCTCTAAATCCATCATTATTTTAAGAACAGGAATGAGACAAAGACCAATCGAAGCACCTCATCAAACTCTACAATATCATTGATTTTCATTATTTATAAATTTTGACATGCTACAATCTAGAAGGACAGCAACAAAATAATTGGATAAGAATGCTTTTAGTATAAGACACATTTGCTCAGTAAGTTTTAAGGCTCATATATTTGTATCCAAATCTCATTCAACATTTAGCTTCCAACAGCCTCTCGTTCGGTTATCTTTTTTAACTCATTCTCTACACCAAGTCATGGGCAGGGGCGCGGCAAAAGTGTCTTCCATACGCCAAGCCGCCCCCCGACGGCTCGAGAACCGACCTATAATTCTAGCTTAGATTTTAATCCAATCCACATATCCATGTTAAAATAAAGGTTATAATATAACATTGACTTCCGGTCCAGCGTTTCCACCAAAAATCGGAAGTTTAGATTCAGTTTTGAAACGCGATTTCGTCGTCTATTCGACTTTGTTTTATAACGATGCCCAAATTATAGCCCACACACCAGTTTTAGTTCTTTTAGGCAACAAAATGTATCATTATTTTGCTCACTGAAGAATATAGGACTCTTCTTTATAATATTGATACAATTGGACTCAAATTGCCAGTGCACTGTTATTGAGAAATCAATATTTTTGAGTTCTAGATCTAGATCTAGGTCTAGATCTAAGTTGTCAAAATATTTTTTTCTCCCCCAAATCACTACTTTTGGGTGAAATTACACAAAAAGTACCACTATCACTCAAGACATGTATAGGTTCATTCTAAATGAAGTTCTGAAAAATTCCATATAAGATGCGAATGTTTTTTTCTGTTTGTGAATGCATCTTGTTCTTTTTTCAAGATCATTTAAAAAATTAATTTTTTTCAATATGGGATGTTGTGATCCAAATGTACAAATTTTAAGGAATGTATGTAAATAACTGCAAATTTTTCAATATTTTCCATTTCTATATTCATTTATGGTTATTTTAACGTATCATTTGACAAGGTGCAAACATATTTTTTGAGTTTCACCAAAGATTATTAATTTTGTATTTTCAATTTTATCTCCATCCAAGTAAAATTGTGTTGCATTATCGCCTCTCACAGGAACCAAAGTTGAAAAATACACAAATAAACATTACAGATGTACTCTACACACCCGACTGAAAATTTTGATACATAATATGTTGATATTTATTTGAATTTGAGGCCCCAAAGACCTTTGAACTGCACACTAGTCATCATCTCATTTCGCCCTCCCGAAAAAAATTTGTCCACATGCCGAAAGTAATACGTAGCGAAAGAGTTAATGGCATCAATGAGACAAAGTGCGAAAAATGTCTCAACTTCTTCTTGTTCTTGTTCCAGGAAGCAACATCCCTGCACTCCGGACATGTCCATTGATGCTCCGTTGCTCTCTCCAAAATGTTGCCGAGGGTCCTTCTACTGATTGTGCCAGTGCACATCTGGTTGAACGTTCTTCTGTTCTTTCCTGCAAGGATGCCAGATTTTCCGCTTCCTTTTTTTATTCCCAAAAGCATCATCCTCTCCATGGCAGTACTGGCCTATGCCTCCCTATCTTCCTCCTCAATCAGTAGGCGAGAAAGACATTTCAGGATCTCGACCCTATCTGGTTGAACCGTATTGTCAACTAAGGTGGCCTCACCAGTCTCAACTTGAGCTACGTATTACATATAAAAGACAAATGTGACATTTCTTCACCATTTACTCAATAGAATGACCAAACACAAAATGAGAATAGACATCTGCTTTCCTCTTGAAAAAAAAAAAGAATGGTGATCTGAACATATAACCTCAAATTGTATGGATTGAATTACCTAATTTAACGTATTCATACAAGGTATCTGATCCCATACAATCGGCGGTTTCCAAGTAGTGTCCTTTTAGAAATTTTGATTTATAATAATATTGCTCCATTTTTTATTTTAATACTATTTCATTATTTTACTCAAATGAATTCTATTGTTAGTATTATTGTTTTTTATATTGATGTTATGGCCGTGTTTCTTCTTCTTCTTTTTTTTTTCTTCTTCTTCTTCTTCTTCTCATTATCAATATTTGTTTTATGATAATCATTAACATTATCTATTTATTTATTATTTATGTATGTATGTATGTATTTATTTATTTATTATTTAATTGATGTTTTTTTTTCTTTTCTTCTTGATTATCATTAATACTGCCCTTAATCCATAAACGTGATATCGATAAAAATAGACGGTAACATAAATGATGACACTATGAGGGGGGGGGGGGGGGGTTTGATGAGAGGGAGTGGGGGAGGGGGGGGGAGGCAATTACAGCGAATTATAGGCAATTTCCAAGTTGAGAACCATAGATATGGGGTACATAGAAGCGGAACCAATAAATTGGCAAAAAGATATTATTAATCCGAATACAGGAAAAAGAGGCTAAAACAGCACCTGGACATGGATGGCTGGTGTTTCTTTAAATAAATCATTGATGGTCTGGTCTGGTATCTCTCACCTTTGAAAGACAGCGGTGGAAGGAAGCAGGGGAGGGGAGGGAGCAGAATAAACATCCAGAGCAGAAAGTACAGTCGATATTGTCTAAGACAGCCACCAATTGTCCAGGAGAAAAGTGACTGGCACATAGACAGCAGGACGTCTTAAACAGTGTCATTATAATGTAACAAAATATGAGGAGTCCACTGAAAAAAACGGGCATAGTCACAAACTGAAAATCGCGAGGGTACAAATTTTGAACGCTTGTTGACTCATAACTGTATTTCTGTTCAGCTGATGGTCTATTATTGCTGTTAGATTACCATCCAACAAACATATAAAATAAACCACCAATCAAACGAATATGAAGTTATGAGTCCACATGCTTTTAAAATTGACACCCTCACAATTTCCAGTTTGTGACTTTGCCCGTTTTTTCAGTGGAGTCTTCATATGCAGTCCAGTCATTTCAGATTACAAAGACAAGAATATGTGCCCTGTATAAAACATTAGGTTGTTTTTTTTTGGGGGGGGGGGGGGGTGTTCTTGTCTTGAAACATAATTCTGCGTACAGGCAATGTACACATATGAAATATTCACTTACCTTGAAGTGGAGTTGAAAGTGCTCTGATCATATGATGAACTTTTTCGCTCTGTTAAAAAATAGTCAAATGTGATACTGTGTACAAAAACACAAGAAGAACTACACAATACTAGAGTAAAATTACAAATTGAGAGCAAAGACAAAAAATGAACCTTTACAGACAATATGTACTATTCATCAATGAAAAAAAAACAAGACAGGGGCAGGCAGCCATCATATACTCTGCTCAGGTTCACCCCCCCCCCCCCAACTTACATTTTTTTTAAAGACTCCCCCCCAAAAAAAGAACGATAAAAACACCATTTAACACACATTCTTATGAAAATCAAAAACCCGTTCACATACCACAACAACCATAACCTACCACATCACAAAAAGGCTTGTGACCAAAGTCCAATGTTGATAAGCATAAAGTAAAAACCTGGAGCAACTATGGAAAGTAACATACATGATAGAAAAAAAAAGAGTAGAAATAAAAATAATAGCTGTTCAATAAGAAAGAAGGAACAAACCACGCCAGAGCAGTCACCAACTACCAACTGTCATATCTCCAACGTTTTCTACAATTTGTGTCACAGCATGGTGGAATCAGACGCTCGCCAATTTTTGGGAATATGGAATCATTGGTATAATCTTAAAGCTTGGTCATTTATCTTGCTTTTGAAGGACAAAATACCCATCTATCTTGAATAGAAGTTGAGATATTTGCCATTGAAGGGCGTGGGAGGGTCGCCTGGTGTCAGAGGTAAAATTAGCGAGGAAATGGCTGCCAAAGTTTGATGACTTCTAATGCTTGAGTGTCCTTGGCAACAGTAAATTTATATTTTTTGTGCCGTCAATCAATGTTTTTCATTAAAATCCACATAAAAATGTGTTTAAAAGAACATAAAAGGTATTAACTCAAAAATAAAAAATAACATTGCAATTGCCCAACAGGCAGAAAAATGTTAGTTTCTTCCCTTTCATTATTTTGACGAGCCGTGATTTCAACTCAAGGCCACAAAGCAGTACAGGGAAAGGCATCATGGTGAAATCAGACGCTCACAATAAACAACAAAATCTAAGAAGCTGACATTTTTCTTGAGGCCTAACCTCCAAGACAGCACAGTCTCCCAACAGCGAATCGTTCAAGGGAAACTCCTCATGCCTTGCACTTGGATCATGGAATATTTCATGATCCTGGATCAGAGCGACCAGCTCCACGTTCATCTCAGGAGGGGAGAGAAGCACTCTGGCCACAACTGAGCCACTGTCAGCGCCGGGCAGCATCACAAAGTACAGGAAGTGAACGTCATCCAGGACGCTTTGTTCCATCGGTTCTGCGGACATAAAAAAAACTGGTCACATGTACAATTTTTTCTGATGATACAAGGTCACAGCAAATAAAATGTTACATTTCTTTCCATCAAACTAACCAGAGCTAGAAATAAGACACATTTACATACAAATAAGACACATTTACTTACGAAAGTCTTGATCTCAACCAGATCAACACTAACAGATTGACCAAGGAGAAAGTGCTGATGTAACTGGCACACTCCAGTAATAGGGTTAACCTCTTCGCTCATAATAATAATAATAATAATAATAATAATAAATAGCATTTATACTGCGCATTTTCATTTTCTAAAAGATGCTCAATGCGCATTACAACAAAAAAGACATCACATCTTAAAAATTAATTGACATGCGTGCACGTAAAACAAAGTATTATACATATAATATAAATGCATATGTGTAAAAATTTATATGAGAAAAACAGTCTCGCAGTGAGGTTGGAAATGTGTTCACCAAAAATATACAATGCAATAAAAATTCATGAACGGTCACAATAAAGTTGAAACGTGAGTAACTAGAAACATTCATTAAAACATTCGTTCTATTCTCTCTCTCTCTCTCTCTCTCTCTCTCTCTCTCTCTTTCTCTCTCTCTTTCTCTCTCCCTCTCTCTCTCTTTCTCTCTCCCTCTCTCTCTATCTCTTCTCTCTCTATCTCTCTCTTTCTCTCTCTCATTCTCACGCGCTATTTCTTCAGTCTCACAGTCAGGCATACACATGCATATATATATATATAATTATATCGCAGTACATCATTATGACAGGTATGCTTTGGTGAATAAAAAATGCTTCAGCTGATTTTTGAAAATGGAAATTGTTGGGGCAGATCTTATTTTATATGGGAGTTCGTTCCATACCTGGGGACCAAAGAACAAAAAGGAACGCTCGCCGTATGTTTTGTAATTTTGTTTTGGAGTTTTAAGAATTAGATTCTCTGAGGCTGATCTAAGGGCTCTAGGTGGATGATATAATTCCAGGAATGTTTTAAGATAAAAGGGTGCGCTATCATTTATACATTTAAAACAGAGAACGGCAGTTTTGTATTTGATCCTTTCTTTTATTGGCAGCCAGTGCAGTTCTTTCAGAATTGGTGTTACATGAGCTGATTTCTTTTGTTTCATTATCAATTCTGCTGCTTGATTTTGGAGTACTTGTAACTTTGATAGTTTTTCGGCTGTCAAACCGGACAAAATAACATTACAGTAATCTAACTTCAATAAAATGAGTGTTGTTACAAGTGTCTTAGCTGCTGCTTTAGTTAAATAATTTCTTACACTGTCAATTTTCTTAAGCTGAAAGTAAATACTTTTGCTGAGATGGCTAATTTAGGAGGACATAAGACATATCATAATCCAACTGAACCCCTAGATTTTTAAGACTTCTTTATGAACGAAAGGTATGGTTATTAATATCAATTTGTAGTTCTGGGAGATTTTTAAAGGCTTTTGTATTTCCACTCAACATTATTTCCATTTTGTCATCATTTAGTTTCAATTTATTGCTGGTCATCCATATTTTTAAATCTCTAGTACATTGTTCACTCATGTGTAGACCTATTAATTTGTTCGTTTCTGCTGGTGTTTACGAGATGTAATGACAGCTTGTGTTGTTGATTATTCTTCAACAAGGGAAATGGTAGTTTGGCATTGCTTTAACTTCTATTGCACAAACAATGACGGAAACGTCTCCGTAATGAATAGATTAAAGATAGAAGAAAAGGCTTATAAACTGTGCAAGTTTGTGAGAAAAAGTTGAGTTTCTCTGTCTTTGTGAGGAGGTGTTGAGTTTCTCTGTCTTTGTGAGGAAAAGTTGAGTTTCTTTGCCTATATCCTGCACAAGCCGACCCCTGACCTTGAGAGTTTTGATAGTCACTCAGGATCCTCTCCTTCCAGGCGGATGAGTTGATGAAGTCGAGCTCCCCACAGCTGGGGACACGGCGTCTGTCGGGGTACATGCGGAGCCGGGCCAGCAAGCCAGTCTGGAAATGATTTCAGAAATTAATTTAGAGAAACGTTACACTTGAGCTCAGTCATGTTTAGAAGACATCTGGCCAATGATAAATGGGCAATAGAGTGAGAGAGAGACAGAGACAGAACAGTCAGAACGATACATAGAGACTGAGTGACTGAGGGAAAGAGAAAGTATCAGGTGAAGAGGGAAAGAGAGAGAGCTTGAGGTGAAGAGGGAAAGAGAGAACACGAGGTGAAGGGAGAAAGAGAGAGCATGAGGTGAAGAAAGGAAGAGAGAAGTGACGTTACCTGAGTCAGTTCCTGTACGTGGTCGTGAAACGCTGAGCTGCCGCCGCTGAACACGTGTCTTGGAATAATCAGGAAGCAATACGATGAAGATCAGGGAAAAGATGGCACATAGGTGAGAACAGTGAATTCCCCACCCCTCTCATTTATCTTTGCAGACTAAAAACTCTCTATAAAAAGTAGGCAGAACTTCAATATTGGCCACAACACCCTCCTTGTCTAGGGAGTGGAGAGCCATGAAAATTCACCAAACAATCCAAAGTTCTGTGAAATGCCTGTCAAAAATAAAATCCTCTAAAAATGAAATTGGAGTTTGAGGAAAAAAATCAGACTCCCAAGAGCTCCAGTAGATTCAGATTATTTAACAAACCAAGAGTGGAAAATTAACCAAATTGTGCAAATAAAAATGTGTATTTTCACAATGTTCATGATAATTTGTGCAAACATTGTAAACAAATTATGTAATTAAAAATGTGTATTTTCACATCATTTACGATAAGTCGCATACACCCAAAGGAGACAGAATTGATTGAAGGAAAAAAAAATCAGATTTGGTGCAAATCCAATCAGGGTTCTGCGAAGTGTAAAAAAATATCGGAGAGCTCCGATTTTCTCATAATCCTTGTCAGATCTGTGTTTTACTTTCTCATAGTACTTGTCAGATCTGTGTTTTACTTTCTCATAGTACTTGTCAGGTCTGTGTTTTACTTTCTCATAGTTGTAGTGAAGTCTGTGTTTTACTTTCTCAGAGAACTAGTCAGGTCTGTGTTTTAGTCTCTCACAGTTCTCTTTGGGTCTGTGTTTTACTTTCTCATAGTACTAGTCATGTCTGTGTTTTACTTTCTCATAGTTGTAGTGAAGTCTGTGTTTTACTTTCTCAGAGAACTAGTCAGGTCTGTGTTCTAGTCTCTCACAGTTCTCTTTGGGTCTGTGTTTTACTTTCTCATAGTACTAGTCAGGTCTGTGTTTTACTTTCTCATAGTACTAGTCATGTCTGTGTTTTACTTTCTCATAGTTGTAGTGAAGTCTGTGTTTTACTTTCTCAGAGAACTAGTCAGGTCTGTGTTTTAGTTTCTCATAGTTCTCCTCAGGTCTGTGTTTTACTTTCTCATAGTACTAGTCAGGTCTGTGTTTTACTTTCTGTGTGAGCAAAGGATACAGGTCCAACACAAAGGAGTCCAGTAAGATCCACGGCAGTGTGCTCAAGTCCACTTCCTGGAGGACCTCGATGGTCCGTCCAAATACTGCAAGCTCGGGATCCCTCTTTTGTGCCTGTGGAACAGTCACTTCCTTTTTTTTTCCAAAGAAAATGTAGACAAATACAAGAATACACTGAGATCAGAAGTTTGGTGCGGTTTGTGTTTAAGCGTCTGACTCTCATTCATAAGGTCATAGGTTCAAATTCTGTCAGGGGCCTGACATTGAGTCCTTTAAATGAATTTTCCTTACTTAATCCACATAGGAATGGGTACACGGCTTAGACAGCAAAGATCTTTTCTGCTAATGTTTTAGTGCTTAACTGGCTGTTTGCGCTGTATGCATCCCTAGAAGTCAAGAATGTTTCTGAGTGTCCTAGGGTCTGCTGGGATAATAATAGCCGTAAAACGCAGAGTGCTTGCTGTGGGGCGTGGATATTGGATAAATGCAATTATTATAATTATTATTATCATTTAACCAAAAAAGTTACTTCAGGAGGCTAAGTTCACATTGCCACTTGATTGTTGACATGCTTCAAGTTTTACCCACAAACACAGTTGCCAGAAATGGCCAGGATATGATTTTATTTGTGGACGACAAATGTACACTGATACTCGTGTTGACAACACACCTGTCTCTTCATTGCTGACAAAATTATATGACGCCCACTGAAAAGACGTACCTCGATCTTGCCCTTCCATTTTTCTATGGTGTCTTGTTGAAAAAGCATCAGTTTTTGCTCCAGCAAGGCATTCCAGTCTTCGCACATCAGATAGAAGCCATATAGCTCATGACCTCTCTCCTCCTTAGAAAAAGGTCACAAAAAGGTGTTGAGAAAAACGATGTCCATTTTTTTTTCTTTTTTAAATGAAACAAAGTTTTAATGAGAAAACGTAAACTCTTGTCACTAGGAAGGAACACCAACAACTTATGAAAAAAGTAAACCTTAAAAGACAATGGTGATGGAGTGATGGATTGGCGGATTGATTGATTGATGGATTGAAGGAACAGTCACATGATCTAAAAGCCAACAGCCAGCGTCACAAAGCAAGCCCTAAGCTAGAATCCACAAGGAAAAAGGAAACCAGGCTGACCAAAGAACCATGGTGCCGAGAGGTGACAGAAGACACAGGGAGGTTGTGGCATACGCGGGGACAGCTTTTTTCAACATTTAAAATTTGAATTTTGACAAAATCTATCTTGGCACTTGTATTACCTAATCGTGTTGCAAGTGCCATAAAACTTTCACTAAACCCCAAAAAAATATTTCCCAACAATATACATTTAATACTAAATAATACCACAGATTAAGAAACTGAAATTTTTAAAAATTTAATATTTTGGGTTCGGTATATTTCAAAATACGACCGATGACAAGTGTGTCTTTGAACTACACAAATCATACAACCCACTCACCACCCTGTCCATGACGTTCACTTTTCCCTCCCAGAAGGGACGGGCCAGACAGAAGCCCCGAGAGTCAGAACTGACCACAGCCTGGGTCATTTGGGAGAGCTGGACAGCCAGCGACGACAGTTCCGGGTCCAGCTTGAACAACGTGAATCTGGCGTTGTGCCACTGGTGGAGGCGAAGGAGCGCACCGGACAGGGGGACAAAACTGTGGAAGACATGATAGAGTTATTGTGAGGGGGGGAAAGAGAAACGAATGCCCTTCGTTTTAGTGGTTTTAGTTTTAGTTTTAATTTTAGTAAGTGTTTTAGTTTTAGTTAGAGCTTTACAGCACTTGCAACAAAATTAGGTTATATAAGTGCCGACAATTAGACGTGCTACAAGAGAGCACCAAGCACAAAAAAAAAAGGAGGAGAGATAAGGACGATAGAGACTTTTACAGCACTTGCAACACAATAAATTCATCCAAAAATTAGAATACTTACTAGAGATTGACATTATAAATAGCATTTGTATAGTACATATCTCCACTCAACAGCTAGCTCTATGCACTTCACAATCTACATTATTAGCCCAGCAGAAAATAAAATACTCAGAAACATTCATAGCTTCCCCAGAAGCATACAGTGCAAGCAGCTGAATAAGCACTCAAACGCTAACAAACTGACAAGATATTTCACTATCTACACATTGGAAGCCATTCCCATCTGAGTGAAGTGAGAAGAAAATCTGAGTTAAGTGCCTTTTCCCAAGCACACAACATCAGGCATTTGACGGCATTTGAGCCCACAACCTTACAGTTACCAGTCTGAAAGCCTAACCACTAGGCCACCAATGCCGCAACAAATCCCTTTGGTTCAAGTAAAAGTTTTACGGCACTTGTAACACCATACAGTCATAAATATAAGAGCTGAAGATTAGAGGTGTTACTAGAGAGTAACATACAAAGAAAAGAAGGAGAAGGGATAAGGACGATAGGTAAAGAAGGAGCAAACCACACCTGAGCATCTGCCAACCACACACAACGCCTACCTCTGTGGGCTGTCAATATCTTCATTGTCCAGCACTAAGACCACATGTAAACTGCTCCCTGTTTAAGACAAATGGAAAAATGTATTACAATTTTACTAATTACATAAAGAAAAAACATTTTTACCGAGACTAGTGTATATACAAGTAGAACTACTACTTCAAGCATACTGTGCATCAACCCATAATCATAAACCCGTTGCCACTTAACGCTCCAATCTCATTTGAAACACTCAGATGCAGTTGTTGTGTTACTAGATTTTCCATATTTAGAAAAACTAAAGAGAAAACAATTGACTAGAAAAAGAAAAAAAAATGAGTGTTCACAATCCTGCCTATCACTTCATGAATTCAGCCTAAAATAAAAATGACACATGAGTGGGGCACAAACAGCCAGCTCAAAAGCCTGCAATATGAAATTCAATGGCTTCAAGACAAGGGGAAGTTCAAAGGCACAATACGACCATCCAAAAAGCAACACACCTCGACCACGTCCAACAATGACACCCCATGGTATAAAAGGACAGAAAAAGTAAAAAGTAAGTAGAAAAGTGACCGGATGCTTCTCCCTCAACATGACATCCTCTGTATCTGGGAAGGTCACAAACTTTAAACAAATTACAGGCCTTTCCCTCTTCTTTGTTCTTCCCTTTCACCATCTACAGTGGAAACCATGATATAACAGGCCCGGTAATAACAGGGAATTTTTAAATCCCCGTTGTTTCCTATTCTTTGTCTCTATCAAAAGTAATCAGCTATAACAGGGCCTCATCGGAGCCCAATCGGTTATAGCAGGGACAAAGGCTTATAACAAAGTGGAGAGAGAGAGAGAATGAGAGAGAGAGAGAGAGAGAGAGAGAGAGAGAGAGAGAGAGAGAGAGAGAGAGAGAGAGAGAGGGGGGGGGGGAGGGAGGGAGAGAGAGACAGAGAGACAGAGAGACACAGAGACACAGAGAGAGAGAGAGAGAGAAAGCCCATGCAAGCCACGCCACTGCAACTGCAAGCACACGCAGAGGGTGAAGAGAGAGGGCTGTGGTGTGCTGCATACTTCGCCTAGCTAGACGCACGTGTAATGTGTCATGTGCAGGCCTGCCACACAGCCACGAGAGAGGGTTGCGGTGTGCAAGCGAAACTACCCATGAATAAATACAGCAGGATTAGTCCACAAGTGTTTACTTCCCTTGCATTTCTGATTTAACTGGGATCAGATAGAACAGGACTTTTCTCTGGTCCCACCATCCCTGTTATATCAGGTTTCCACTGTAATTCTTCCTTTACTCATTTTGCAGTGAATGAAGTTTTAAAATTCTGAAACATTAGCAACTTTCATTTACAGTTCCCACAGGTTCTCTCGTAACAGGATAGGACAATTGAGCTGCAAAATCTTACCCAAATATGGATGAGAATCAGCGACAGTGTGAAGAACAGTCGCAGTGTCTTTATTCCTGTCTTCCTCAGATGACAACAAACTGCAAAACATTATGAGGTCAAAAGGATGGAAAAACTTATGAAAATTTACAGATGTAAAAGCTCAAGAAAAAGTTCCTTCCAATGGTTATCATCACCCATCACATTAATGCATTGAGATTCTAGGGTTTATTTAACAGTTCAATTAGACTACTCCAATCACTGAAAGAAATGGCATTCCAACACAATAAGGCGTGTGTCAAACAAACAGAAAGAAAAGCAGAAAAGGTCATGCATCGAAAGTGGTTCAGACCTCATCATATTGAAGTGACAATGGAAAAGACATGAGCCCACTTGAGTAGTATGATTATGTAACCACACATTATGACTGCACACATGCTGGCTAGGGTCTACGAAAACCACAGACGATGAAGTGACGACCAGCCGCAGAGAGTCGAGTAGTTTCCTTCTGCAAGTCTTACTTGTTATGGTCACATGTTGAGAAAAATACGATTTTAGCCAATTTCGTTTGGTAAGACGAGGATCTAAGGAAGTAATTTTAGGTGAAAAAAAAATTATGTCAAAGAAAAAAAAAGATTTTGAATGAAACAAGACTTTTGGCAGTGAGGTAAAGGTAGAACAATATTTTATACCAACGGAAAAAAAAATCTGTGAAGTTACCTTTCTTTGCTGTCATCCACACCGCAATCTTCTCGTAGATGTGACTGTAGCTGTTCCACAGAGATCCATTGATTATCGTTGTCGACCAAAACAACCTTGAGAAAGACAGAAATGAACCGAAAACTTTATTTTTAAAATAATAAAAACGAACTATTCAAATATCATTACTAGCCTCTGCTTGCGTTGAAATAGCTGTACTGTTATCATTCTAACACATTGCAAATTTGAAATTAACAGACACATGAATTTTACTAACAAACAACCATTTTCATAATATCTGTCAACATTTTGATTGAAAAAATATATTATATTGTGAAAATTATCAAAGGCGATGACCTATTGCCAAGGAAAAAAATGGTCACCTTAAACTTACTTAGAGAGGTGGACAGTGTCATTAAAAGAAAAAATGCAATGGGGAGGTGGAAAACGCAAGTTTGTACAGGTGATTGTCTTGAACAGGTGGCCATTAGAGCAGGTTCGAATGTACCTATTATAGTATATTAATAGATAGGCTATAATATATATGTTACAGTAAAAACACGTACCTAGTGAATATGCGTAATCACTGAATATTTCAGTGAAAACGCGTAATCCCTGATCAGGCACATACAAAATTTTATTGCTTAAATAGTCAGTTCGGTAAAAGATACTGTAACTCTCTCCCCCCCCCCCTCTCTCTCTCTATCTCTCTCTCTCTCTCTCTCACTCTCTCTCTCTCTCTCTCTCTCTCTCTCTCTCTCTCTCTCTCTCTCTCTCTCTCTCTCTCTCTCTCTCTCTCTCTCTCTCTCTCTCTCTCTCTCTCTCTCCCTCACACACACACACACATACACACCTGCTCCACAAACTAAATACAACGCATTTAATTTTTTTTAATGCAGACACCATTGTTGTTGTTGTTTCAGTTTTCAGTTTAAAACTTAAGACTAAAATCCATCAACGTCGTCACTTGCTACAACAATTGAGGCTGCTATGACAGTGTGAGTTACACTGAAGCCCTGCTTTACAGCATTTACATCGCCTCGAACTACACTTTTTGGCACGTGTACAGTTGCATCTTGTGAAGCCTTGTCCACCTGAAGAGGATTGAAAAATCACAGCTGAACGCAGTGAAACTATTTGTTCGGTGTTTATGTCGTCAGTGTTCAGAAGACGCTCAGGGCACAGATCGAATTGATTTCTGGAATACAAACCACTGAGAATAACAGCTTTTACGGCTATCTTTTATTGGCCTGTGTCTTCTCATGTGTCAATTATGACACCAAGGATATTTCTAGGATCGCCTCTCCCTCGATCAACAAGTGGAACTGGCACACAAACGTTGTCTCCTTGTTTACCAGCTCGCATACATGTATCTTCATGACCTCTTTTAACCATTCTTTCTGCTTGAGAAGCTTGTGCATTGGCTACTTCACGACGACGCATTTTTATTTGTTTGATGCGTCTTCTACCCTAAGGTCTTTAGCAGAGGAACCAGGACTGTCTGATGGAGAGGGCGTGAGAGACGTCACATGATCTTCCGATTGTCCATAAGAACCAGGACTGTCAACATCGTAGGCTGATGGGGTTGATATGGGCAAGGAAGGTCCTGTGGGTAGATCGATGTCTTGTGCTGGTGTCCTTTCAAGTTGGACTTGAAGCAGAACACCGTCTGCCACACTAACTGTTGGTGTTTTGTCACTTGTAGCTTGGATCTGGTTTGCTGACCCATCAGTTTGGGAGAGAGAGAGTTTTCATTGACAGAAAGAAGATCTTCCTCAGTCTCTATCCAAGCAATCATTTCCTCTGGCAAAGACGAAGTAGAAAGTCCAACACGAGCTTCACATCCAAACATTGTAGAATATGGAGAGCACTTTATCCCGGAATAAAGAGAACTATTATTCGGGAACTGAACAAATTTGATGCCCATAGGCCAGTCCAGTGAGCCATTATCAGTCATCCAAGCCATGAGCATATCTTGAATATCACCATTTGCTCGCTCAACCGACCTCTGACTTTGGGGATGGTGAGGCTTACCATGCACCATTTTTAGATTTGACCAAACTTCCTTCATCTCTGTGATGACCTGTGAAGTGAGTTATCGCTTTGCAGAATAACTGGTGCACCAATGAGTTGAAAAATGTCCAGTAAATGAAAAGCGACCTCTGCAGCTCTTTACGTCAAGGCTCGAAGGATGCAAAACTTCGTCAAGTGATCCTGGTACACCATGGTCCATTTCCTATTGGATCCACTCTGCATGCTTTACATGTCAATAATATCCACCTGACCCCTTGACAAGAACTCCTAGGTGAGTACTGGACCAAAACAAGCCCACTTATAACTACGAGTATTTGTGGTTCAAAACAAGCACACCAAACTGGGTCACTGTACAATGGTGGGGCTATTACGTGAATTCACTGAATGCTCATTAGTAAGAAGACGTAAAATGATAGGGTTTAATTTTTGGGATCTCGTGTACAATCTTACCTGAAACCCCTCTGAGTGAAACGGGGATTACGTGTATTCCCTAAAATATTTAGTGAATACGCGTAATCACTAGGTACGTATTCTTACTGTAACATATATACACTCAATGAGATTCATGATCTGAAAGTCAAACAAACCTTCAAGAAATCTTTTCCAGAAGAGAATAAACACAGACACTCAACGTTTGTGACAAGCTCCTGTGGGGCATCTGACTTCTCCGCTGACGCTTGCAGTCCACTGAGACAACTTTCTACACAGTGAACAGCAGCATTGCCTGAGAAGCATCAATGAACGAAAAGTTGAATGATACATGTAAAAAATTTATTTCACGTCAAGGCAGCAGCTACAAATTATCATACCCTTTTCATTTTTTCAAACATTATGCAAATATGAACTGGATACTGAAATGGATTGAAAAAGTGCTTTTTTTTTCTTATATATATATATATATATATATATAAAATTCTGATTATGTTGGAATTTTAAATATAAGCCAGGTCATAATGATTCTTTACCCCAACCTTGCATCTTCCCACTTCAAATTTAAGTAAAAGTGTAACATTTAAAAGAAAACCCAACCTCAACCAATATGAATAATTCCTCCCTTAAATCTCTGAACACTTTTGTTATTAAAAGGCTCCCAAAATATGAACAGAACAACATTGTAAGGAACACAGCAAACAGTATTAGCCTAAACAACATTTAGTAAACCTCACAACCTTGTTGTTCATCTACCTTTTGCCACAGTTCATATTTAGTGGGACCATGTGTAACCAAATTTGCTTGCACAATTTATTTTAAATACCTGATTCTTAAGATACAGGGTGATCAACAACAAAAAAACTACAACTTTTTTTCGGAACATCTCGAACTAAATTAGTTCTAGAATGCTGTAATTTCGAAGATACATAATTCATTCAAAAGGAATTTGTTTGACATAAAATCCATGAAGAAAAAACTTACTTTGAAAACGGAAATGGCTTGAAGAAAAAAGCACCAAAAAATGCAAAGCTTACCATTTTTTTCAAATCTTGGACAGGAAGTCGTAAAAAGATTGGTTGACTTTTTGTTTATTTTCTCTTTGACATTTAATTGTCCATCCCTGTAACTTTTAAACAAAATTTAATTTCTTTTACAGCGTTTTAAAACACTAACGATTTCATTCTGGAATTCCTAGAAGCAGTGAACTACATGCTCTCCTTTGGACTCGACACATTTGTGATTTTTAACGCGTTGTTCGAAATTTTCAATGGCATCAAAACACAAGGACCTCCTAAACCATGAGTGTTTAAAGCCATGTGCACTGTACATATTCAGTATGAAGTGGCTTCTAGAGACAATAGGAAGTGGGGTGCCCAATAGACAGTATTTTTGGAGTTAACATATCCTGTAGAGTGAAAATGGGTTCTGCACTAAACCAAATGCCATCGAGGAAATTATCCCGCTTTTCAAGACAAAATCGAGGAATCATGAACACATTGTCATGCTCTGAACCATGTCATCTTGGCCTAGCGAAGATGACAATGGTACAGTTATAGGCTACGATCTGCCATGAGAATGCAATCTATTGAGGTATAGGAAAGTCCTAGCAGCGGATCGTCTATGGACAGACGTCTCATGGGACTCAACCGCTGAAATCGTCACCCTGTTGCGTTCAAAAGGGTGCACATGGGGCGTGTTCGACCTGAAAGGGTCATTTTAAAGGAAATTTTTAGTTGTAATTCGCTATAGATCCAAAATGACGGAACTTCTCTACTCATGACACCAAAGGTCTTGAGGGCACCTAAACATTCTTTCCATGCCGAAATGTCAGGGATGGTGAGTCTGTGGAGAGGTAATGTTCAATACAAAAAGCTCTCTGGCCTTTACTAAACTTAACCATTATCGAAATTTGGGAAAAATAATATCTGCAGACTTCTGTTGATTTGTTAGACTGCTGTAGCTTGCAATATGGCACGATTTTTGCAACTTTTAGAGGTAGGCCTAATGCGAACTAGTGCGTTATGCTACGGAAATAGGGACAAGACTGAAAATAGGTGGGTTTTTTAAAGCGCCATATAGAGCAAAACCATTCAATGGACTTAGTTCTATCTAAAATGAATATCATCAGACAAATTCCTGTTGACTTCCAAATATTAGGCTCAAATCTGAAACTAAAAACTTCAGTATTGGGGAAGATATTTACAAAACTAGTCGTATCGTTTTTTATGGATCACCCTGGTTTTTAAAATGTAAATCCAGAAACTAAACTCAGAGCAAACTCAAGTCCAAGACTGGCCTGGATTTTGAAGCATAGCTTCAAAAACAACAACTGAACGAAGCCGAAAGTAAGGAAGTAAGTACAACTAGTACCGATCATGAAAATAATTTATGAATAGAAATCTAAATTAGACGTCTAGATCTAGACTGTATATGATGAACTAGAAAGACCATGAATAATGAATAACGAAGTTAAAAGGTAAGAGTTAAGTCTGAAGTAGATAGTTTGGCGCTTTTTAGGTAATTCCCACCCTTCTTATTTGGGCCTAGATCTAGATTCTAGACTTGATCTACTATACTAATATATCTAGATCTCTTAGATCTATATATGTTTGATGCGAAGAATAATTGGGGGTGGGAACTGTCATGATATTTTAATGTTTACGGTACTTACGACCTCATTGTTTTACTTCCTCTGTTCCGGTGACCTAATTAGGGTCTCGCTTTAGTTTCGCTATTGTCTTTATTCCTGTTCGCACTTCGAGTGTGCCGGCCACAACAGGAGCCATTAAAGCTCAGTGCCTGATCCGCTGTGTTCTGTTTTCGATCATTCCTTGTACTTGTGTATACAAACACGACATGGTAATACAAAACATTACAAACCCAAAGTCAAGATCGACACTGGATCCCAAGGGAATGCATTGCCCTTGAGACTATACAAGGAAATGTTCCCCCAGAAATTCGACAGCCAACAGAACTAGGTCGATCCAAAACCAAAATAACCGCGTATGGAGGAAGTCAAGTCAAACAATATGGCATCTGCAAAAAATCAAGTGCTCCTATAAAGAAAAAGAAGAAAACGCCAAATTCTATGTGACGGAGGACAAAGGCCCAGCCATCCTACGACTGCTGACCTTAAGAGAACTAGGACTGGTCAGCATAAATCTAGAAATGAAGTTGCAAGACAGATCAAAGAATGATGCAAATGCTAGATCTAGCCCCAAAAGCAACCTTTACAAAACTCCAGAAAGTCCGAAAGCCTCCCTGATGATCCAATACCCTGACACCTTCAACGGAACTGGGAAAAATGCACAAGAACATGAAGCACACCTACAAAACATGATACTTCGGTGTCATGAAACTGGACTCAAGCTGAACCAAGACAAATGCAGAATCAAGGAAAACCACATAAAGTTCTACGGCATAATCTGCACAGGCGAAGAGATCAAGCCTGACCTTGCAAAGGTCGAAGCCATCAAAGCTATGAAGCTCCAGAAAATGAGAAAGAACTACAGTCCTTCCTGGGTCTAGCGACATACAATTGATTTCCTTCATTGTTTGTCATGTTTTCAAGTGTTTGAAGCTTGTTTAAGGCCTGGCCGCATAATGGGCATGGATTCAGCCGCACCTAAGTCAGATGGCCGCATCATTGGCTCGTTGTCGGCCACACCTAGGGCTGCCAGCCGCCAAGTGGTACGCCGAAGTTCTGCAGAAAGGCCACCTCTATTCTCATCCAGATAGCGCAGGCGCGCCTTTTGGCTATTCTCACCCGGTGTGCGTTCACCGTTATAGTTAGCCTTGGCCAAACAGAGTAGCGTTCACTCTGAACCACAGAATTCTACACTGTGATAACAGAATTGAAGAATTCTGTACCGTGAACAAATGTTCCAGTGCTCTTGAGTTACTACTGTTACTGTTAGCCTAAAAGCGTGCAATTTTGTATGTGGACTGTGGGCAGTGGAGAGAGAAAGAGAGAGAGAGGAGTAGCGTGAGAACTTCCGGTCAAAACAAAATGGTGACCCGCGTAGTTCGGCTCGTTTCGAAAAGTTAAAAAGCCGTAGCATCTTTGTAGACGACCAAATTAATTTACTTTTGTGTTTTAGCATCATTTTTCATCTTTGTTTTGGTCAATTTGATCGTCCACATCGACAGACAGTATTCAGAGAGAGAGAGGGGAGGAGTAGATCTTGCGAGAACTTCCGGACAAAACAAAATGGTGACCCGCGTAGTTCGGCTCGATTCGAAAAGTGAAATAGCCATAGCATCTTTGTAGACGATCAAATTAGCTTACTTTTGTGCTATAACGTCATTTTTTCTTAACTTTTGTCAATTTGATCATCCACACCGATAGACAGTAGTCCGAAATTAGGAAAAACAGATCTTGTTTCACACCGGGTGAGAATAGTTAATGCTGGCAAGTCTCACTCGGGGTGAGAGGTCGATCGTATTTTTATTCTCACCCCAGGTGAGGATAGCCACTTCCGTGCAAAAAACACCTGTAGTATTATGTGTACCTTGGCACCTAACGTCAAACGGACAACTTGGCAACCCAAGGGAACCCACAGAAAGAGGCTGGCGAGACTTCCAGTTCCAGAGCTGGACTTGAGGTAAACACAACATGGCGGCAGCCTTTACTCTAAGAACCCAAAATCAATGTCAATCTATACATATCGTGCAACATCTAGACAAAATAATAAAGATCTAGGGATATTCTGAAGGACTGAGCACATTTATTGTTTAATAACCCAGGTAATTAGTGTGTAAAGTGTGATCTAGATCTAGCCCAGAGATGGCCGAAGAGGAGACCACGAAACCGGTCATTGCAGCTATCAAACCACCGGACAAACTGGTCCTGGGGTCTAATCCAGTAGAAAACTGGTAATTATTCAAGCAAAGATGGAATACATATGTCCTCCTCTCACGTTTAGAAAACTTAGACCAAAGGTTCCAAGTTGCACTCTTTCTCCATAGCTTGGACGACAAAGCACTCCGAATCCACAATGGGTTTCAATTCACAACAGGTGAAAACAACCGCTCACTTCAAGAAATTATCCAAAATTCGATGAGTTCGTCATAGGCCAACAAAATGAAACTTACGAACATTTCAAATTCAATAAGAGAAACCAAGCACATGGAGAAACCTTCGACACATTCCTGGCAGATCTTAGACGACCTGCTAAAACTGCAACTTTTGCAACGATTGCAGAGACTCATTGATACGAGACAAAATTGTCACGGGCATTGACGACCAACAGGCTCGCACAGACTTACTAAAGGAAAGGCAAATCACACTGGAAAAGTGTATACACATCTTCCGTTCTGCAGAGGATGCCGCAACCCAGGGCAAAGTCCTTCAGGACTCCATGACAGCAGACATAGATGCAGTGAAATGAAACCAAAATCAAAGACAACTTACGAATCGTAACCCTCAGCGCCCCTGTCCCAGTGCACAAACGCAATCTCAAAACCAACACGTACCTAGTAAGCTCACTTCATCCTGCCGATTTTGTGGCTATTCCAGCCACCCACGGACTCAATGTCCAGCTCGTACAGCACGTTGCAACACCTACAACAAACTCGGACATTACCAAAAGGTTGTCGCTCAGGGACTAAACATGCCTCAGAGAGATTAGAGCCCAGGTCCAAACAGGTGGCTGAGGAGCAGTTCAACTTGGATTTACATCCTGGCTCAGAAGATAAACCTCCTTATGCGTTTCTTGGACAAGTGTATCAACTCACAGACGACAGCGATTGGACAGTTGGGATCCAGGAAGACGGACATCTACACCCTTTCAAGTTGGACACTGGTGCTTCAGTTACAGTTATGGGTGAAAAAGACATCAATGTTGCCCCCAATGAACTTAAACGAACAGACAAACTACTCTGTGCAGCGGGAGGACAAAACTTGACTGTTCTAGGCTACACAACAAAGACTTTGAGTTACAAAGACAAGAGAGTGGTAGAGAAAATGTATGTTGTGAAAGGACAACAGCACTCGCTCCTGGGCCGCGATGCATGTGTCAAGTTGGGATTAGTCACTAGAGTACAAGAACTTGAAGGACGGAAGCCAGATTCCAAGCGAGAATTTCCCAAACTTTTTTCAGGTCTGGGCAAGTTGAAAGAACCTTACACCATCAAACTGCATGAAAACATAGAGCCATCGCATATCTACACACCTAGGAAAATAGCCCACCCCCTCTTGCCTAAGGTAAAAAAACAGCTAGAACAGATGTTGGATCAAGGTGTTATTTCAAAGGTAACAGACCCCACAGACTGGTGTGCAGGCATGATAGTCGTCCCTAAACAAGACGGTTCAATTCGCATATTATATGTGTCGACTTAACAGCTCTCAACAAATCCGTCAAACGAGAAGTCCATCCTTTGAGGTTCGTAGAGGAAGACCTTGCACAGTTCGCAGGCAGTAAATTTTTCACAAAACTGGATGCAAAATCAGGTTTCTGGCAAATTCCGCTATCAGAGGAATCTCGAAAGTACACTACCTTCCTGACTCCATTGGCCGATTGTGCATGAATAGGCTACCCTTTGGAATTTCATCAGCATCAGAGGTCTTCCAGCGCACAATGGCAGAGATTCTTCGTGAGCAAGATGGCACAGTATGTCACATCGACGACATTATCATACATGCCCCAGACAAAGACACTCACGACAAACGAGTACGAGAGGTGATGAAATGTGTCCAAGACGCAGGCCTCATTTTGAATGAAAAGTGTTATTTTTCCAAGTCCTCACTAAAATTTCTCGGACACATCATTGACGCTTCCGGCATCCATGCTGACCCAGATAAAGTCGAAGCCATCATTGAGTTTCCGCAACCACAAGATGTTCCAGGCTTACAATGGTTCCTTGGCATGGTCAATCAGATGACGAAATTCACTCCAGGATTAGCCCTGATAACAGACCCTCTACGCTCGCTCCTCAAAAAGGAAAATGAATGGATATAGAGAACAACCACAGGTGAATGCCTTCAAAACTATTAAAGAACACCTCACAACAACCCCGGTGCTAGCAAACTACTCCCCAAAACTGAAAACCATCATTGCAGCCGACGCATCGAAAGGAGGATTAGGAGCTGTCCTTGTTCAAATCCAAACTGATGGTTCCAGAAAGCCTTTGAGTTACATATCTCGCACTATGACGGAGGTTGAGAAGCGGTACGCAGTGATCGAAAAAGAAGCATTGGCAGCCACTTGGTCTTCCGAAAGATTCAGTGAATATATATACAAGGTATGGAGTATACCATTGAAATGGACCACAAGCCCCTCGTTGCCCTTCATGTCTAAAGAGCTCTCCAAGCTCCCACCACGCATTCTGAGATTCCGCCTTGGACTTGCCCGATTCAATCCAGAAGTTATTCATGTCTCTGGAAAAAGCCAGATCACAGCTGACACTCTTTCAAGAAGAGCTCCGTCAAGTGACTCCAATTTAGCAGACATTTATTTTCATGAAGAGGTTCAAGCCATGGAGGAACAAGCCTTTAACTCACTTCCAGCAACCTCAAACAAAATAGCCGAAATAATCCTCCACTAAAAGGCTGATGCGGAAATTGCTGAAGTTCGCAAATACTGTGACATTGGATTGCCGACATATATGCATGCCAACACACTTCTGAAGCAATATTGGTCTAACCAGCAACACTTCACGATTGTAAACGACCTCCTTCTTTTCAATGATAGAATCGTCATCCCATGAGACCTGAGAATAGACATCCTCAACCGGCTTCACGAAAGTAATCTCGGATTTACCAAAAGCAGAGCATTGACGCAGAACTCAGTTTGGAGGCCCAACATCTCAAGCGAAATTGAAAACATGATTAAAAAATGTCTGATCTATGCTAAACTGAGACTGGACGTTAGAGAACCACTTCTTCCGTCCTCCTTCCCGAACCGATCCTGGTCACGAGTGGCAGCAGACTTGTTCTATCTCAAAGGCAAAAACTACCTGGCGGTAACAGATTACTATTCTCGATGGCCAGAAATAAGGATACTAGAAGAGCTATCAAGTGGACATGTGATCATCAAGCTGAACTCCATCATAGCGACACATGGAATACCCGCTGTCATAGTCTCAGACAATGGGCCCCAATTTGCAAGACAGCAGTTCCAAAAACGAAGTGGCTAGACTGAGAGTCTAGCCGTACTTAGATCTAGGTTTGGCCCTATCGACTCAAGTGTCTCAAGCCTGTTAAGTACACAGGTCTCATTAGATCTAGATCTAGCAATTATTCAGGTTCAAATACATGCAAGTCAGTAAGGCACCTTTTGGTTTTGTCTGAAATACAAATAATTTAGGCATTGCAAACTAAAAATTTCATTTACAATTCAGCCATCAATATTAAGTACGGCTAGCCTGACAGTCTAGCCGTCCCTAAGTACGGCTAGCCTGGCTGTCTACCCGTACTTAAGTACGGCTAGACTGCCAGTCTAGCCGTACTTATAAATCTTAGGCCCTATTAACATTAAGAAAACAGGAGGTTTAAAATACATGCACTGTCATTAAGGCACCTGGTTTCGTCTCAAATACAAATACTTAAGGTACTGCACACTAAAAATTTATATTTACAATTCATTAGGCCTATTTTTTTAAATGGTCAGTCTAGCCATCATATGTAGAATAAGTACGGCTAACCAATCTAGCCGTCATTAAGTACGGCTAGCCTCTTCCTTCCAAAAATTTGCTCAAAACTAAGGTTTTACCCACATTACCAGCTCACCCCGATATCCCCAAAGTAACAGCATGATCGAGCGAGCCATTCAAACTCTTAAGAATCTATTGAAAAAGGCTGACGACCCCTATATTGCACTTTTAAATTACAAGGCCACTCCTCTTCTGAACAAATTTTCTCCCAGTGAGCTTTTAATGGGCCGGAAATTGCAGACAAAAATGCCCATCATGGAACAAAAGCTATCCTCAATCTCCAAATCCAGTGCTTCTCCAAGAAAGGGAGAATAAGTACAGAGAAGACATGTACAAGCAGTACAAAAAAACATGCGCCACCTCGCCAGAAAGCCACTTAACTTTTGTCAATTTGATCATCCACACCGATAGACAGTAGTCCGAAATTAGGAAAAACAGATCTTGTTTCACATCGGGTGAGAATAGTCTATGCTGGCAAGTCTCACCCGGGGTGAGAGGTCGATCTCATTTTTATTCTCACCCCGGGTGAGGATAGCCACTTCCGTGCAGAAAGGCCACCTCTATTCTCACCCCGGGTGAGAATAGTGCAGGCGAGTCTTTTGGTTATTCTCACCCGGTGCGCGTTCACCGTTATAGCCTAGATCTAGGCCAACCAATTTTGCTTTCACCCTAAACCACAGAATTCTACACTGTGATAACAGAAAAATTGTAGAATTCTGTGCCGTGAACAAACGTTTCATTACTACTGTTAGCCTACTAAAAGCATACAATTTTGTCTGTGGGCAGTGGAGAGAGAGAGAGAGAGAGAGAAAGGAGTAGTGCGAGAACTTCCGGGCAAAACAGAATGGTGACCCGCATAGTTTGGCTCGATTCGAAAAGTTAAATAGGCGTAGCATCTTTGTAGACGACCAAATTAATTTACTTTTGTGTTTTAAAATCATTTTTTAACTTTGTTATTTTGGTCAATTTGATCGTCCGCACCAATATACAGTATTCAGAAAGAGATTGAGAGAGAGAAGAGGAGAGGAGTAGATCTTTCGAGAACTTCCGGGCAAAACAAAATGGCGACCCCCGTAGTTCGGCTCGATTCGAAAAGTGAAATAGCCATAGCATCTTTGTAGTCGATAAAATTAGCTTACTTTTATGCTATATAACGTAATCTTTTCTTTGCCTTTTTATCCATTTGATCATCCACATCGATAGAAAGTATTCCGAAATTAGGAAAAACAGGTCTTGTTTCACACCGGGTGAGAATAGCCTACAGTGGCAAGCCTCATCCGGGGTGAGAGGTCGATCGTATTTCTATTCCACTGCACTCTAGATCTATACTTGAAGTCTTTAAATTCCCGGCCACGTCAGGGCCCCTCCAGCGGCTTTTTTCTCCACGAAAATCAAGTTGGGAATCTCTTAGTGCAGAAGCAGTGCTAGCTGGGGGGGGGTGTCTAAATCTAGTTACTCTAATTTATAGTCACAGTGCAAGCATTCTATGATCTAAATAAATTAAAACTTACTTTTTCTCAGGATAAAAACGACCCTACAACTGCTATTATTATTCATGTCTTTGCTCTTTCAGTCTACTGGCTCTACTCTTCTAGGTTCAGGTTGGAAAGTACACCCACAGTCCACAGTAAGTCAGTTCTCAAACGTCATACACAGACACGTTTAGCAGATGTCAATCATGATATCGACAGAACTTCCACAACCGATCATTCCACTGTTGTAAGACTAAAAATTAAAAGGGACATCGAAACTAAAAACCGAAAGTAGAAATCCCCTCTATGGAAAGTCAATGTTTGGGTTCTGATATCATCATACAGCCCGCCTTGGAGTATTTCCGGTTCATGATACATGGCCTGGATCTTTCATCAGTTTGAAACCTACTTAACATTTAGAAATAAGATAATAAATTATTCTGATACCTTAATAAACGTCATTATATACAAAAATAAATTCATATTGTTTATCTAAATTTTATTTAAATCAATAATGTCTAGATCTAACTATCGTTTCAAAACCAATAAAATATCACCCGGGTAACAATAGCTTGGAAAATGGCGACTATTATTGTGGATTGCGACTGAAAACGAGGAATAGGAAGCGAAGTAATAATTATGCCTGGCGGCTAAGTCAGATCACTTTGATAATACGCAATAACTTAGTGACATCATTGTAGACTAGATCTAGTGCCTGAAGAAAGACAGAGAGAGCTCAATGAATAACTTTAAAAGCGAGGGCCTAGATATCTAGATCTAGATCTATCTATCGCGGTCAGTTCAGTGACGAGGAGCACCCCATCCTAAACAGCTAATCCTCATTATTCAGCTGAATGTGACTATATGGTTACAAAAGGTATAATACTATGGTACTGTATTTTTCAGTGTAGGGAACCAAGCTGCATATGATCATGTAGTCTACTCTGTGAGTTAACAAAAAGATGTGGAAGACAGACGAAAACAAAGACAAACAACAAGTCAGATATTTGAGTGTACCCTGCTGATGTATAGTTTTTAAAAAATCCCTGTCATTGTGCTTTCAACACTTGAGGAATCTTAGTTGATACTCTCTAGTGTCTTCTGAGTTCACTGGCCCTTTTATATCTTGCTTTTATTTGTCTGACAGCTGTACACTCAAAATGGCAGCTGAATGGGGGAAGAAAGCAATGGGTCGAATTGATCGATCTCAGTTTGCAAATGATGAGCTCCTGAAATCACTTGGGAATCAGCTGAATGTTGACTTTTCCAAGTATGACCAATGGCAAAGGAAAGAGAGAGTACTCAGGCCTCCAGCTCCCAAAAAGAAAGTACAAGGTATGATTAATTTTACATAATATATAGATAGACAGACAGAGAGAGAGAGAAAGGGAGAGAGAGAGAAACCTGCATGTGCAATATACACTGGAGTCTGCTTAATTAAACTAAACAGGATTAATCTGAAAATAGCAGTAAACTAACTGAAAGAAAATGTAATTCCAAACTGTCTTAAATTCTATTTCATCAACCTTTCTAAACCCTCCCAAAAAACCCATGTCAAACCACCTTTCCAGCAGATTTTTGGTTTAAGCAGACTCTACTACTACTAATAATTTGCCATGTTTATATATGAAAAATTTATACTGCTTTCAATTCTATGTGTTCATTTACGTGGGCGAAGTCGTGTTTTATTAACCCTCGTCCTGCGGGGGCCGGGTTTATGTCGCCTGATAAGCCTATGTCGGCACCTTGCCTGCGTTCTGGTCCCGAGTCAGTCTAGCCCCTGGCTCAGCGCACGTGCGCGGAGCATCATCTCACGTTCAATGCGGGTCCCGTGTCGGATCCCCATTCACGCTGGTCAAGTGTGTGTGCGTCTGTCTGCTTGAGTTTGTGTGCGTTTGTGGCCTTCTTCTAGAACCGCCTGCATTGGTTTGTAATATCAAGGCATACGTCGCATTCAAAACACCCCTAGTTGGTAGCTCTAGATGTCCGTCAAATGAAATTATAGAAGAAATTGACCCACTTAGAGACATGAGGAGCTCGAAAGGATAGTCAGGAAACAAGACTTCCATTTTTCTATACAAAATCTTTCAAATGACCTTGATTTTGTATGAAATGATATTACCTGATAAGAAATAAGCTTGTTTGATAGTTTTGAATACCATTGTGCAGGTACAAAGAACAATTTAAGTGCAAAACATTCGGAAATTGACCTATCTTATCCCCTTTTGAATCTCAGGTCATTCAGCTTGGGAGAGGGGGTTATTCATGTGTTTGTAACACATTATAAATAGAAAACTATAAAAGATAGAGCGTTATTTTCATCATCGATTAACACACTCCCCCCACGGTATTCATGGCGAAAACACATGTTTCCCGGCGCGCGTGCACTGTACACCAACAGTACACACTGAGTGATCCCAGAGGCCTGCCCGGAACGTCCGACGTAATCGGTTGCTGATAAGATTCTCATCTCAGCACAGACATGCCGGACAAGACTTAAGAAGAAAAAAAAATATTGCTTTTGTCAAATTTTTCCTGTTCCTGTTTTATATTTTGATTCAGTTTCTTTAAGCTTCCTTTGATACCATGCTTTGGTTGTCAACGTGGTAATCCAATATTCAGTTTTGTTATGACTATATTTATTTGAGGTGGATTTACTCTTTCTTGTCTATTAAACATATTTCGTCCTTATCTCTCCTTCTTCTTTTCTTTGTATTTGGTACTCTCTAGTCTTCAGCACTTATAACCCAATTGTGTAGCAAGTGCCATAATACTCTTACTAAAACTGACCTTCACACTTTGGTTTGATCTTATACAGATACACCAATGACCTTTAAAGTGGGAACACTGAACAGAGCATGCTCGGCAGACACTGCACCCACTCCGATTCCTCGAGGTCGGAGAGCTCAAGCCAGGATGGAGGAGGAGAGAAGAATACAGCAAGAGAAGCTCAACATGCTTGAGGTACGTTTTGTTTTTTGAGGGGTTATTTTTTTATGTAGGTGTTCTCATGCTCCTATCGACACAATTAAAATCATTCAGGTGGCAGGCTTCCGACCCTACCTGTCAGGGCCATCCTGGGCTGAGAAGGATACAATCAAGCGGAAAGACCAAGATGTTCAATAAAAATTTTCTTCCCACTCAGAAATTGAATTCGGGTCTCCAGAAAAGCACCACCGCTACACCACAGAGTGTACTTTGACAAAGAGTCACCATGCTGGGTTTGTGCTGAGCTTTGAGGGAGTCTATGATGTCAGATTATTATGAATAAATTTACAATCATTTTGTGAAGCCCTTGAAAAGTTTTGGGTTCGGAAGTATGCAAACCTCCCACCACCACCACCACCTCCACACACACACAGATACACACTCATTTTTCTTTTACTACCTTTCTTATACAGCAGTAAGCTCATCCGAACAAATTTTGTCATGAAATGTTCACATGCCAAAGATTCTGTTTTAAAGCTTTGTTGCTTGCAACTTTTCATAGCTTTTCTCCAGCCTCTGCTATCAGAGTTATGAGTGAGTTTTTAGGACACCATTGAAACTCTGCATGCGTGAAAAGCACAACAAAGACAGCTTGTCTTGTGAAAGTGGTGAGAAAACAGAATGGGCTTATTCTGGCTACCATGAGAAAGTTTGAAATACAATCTAGCAGGTACATAAGAAACACACATAGCATATAAATATCAGGTCCTGACTTTGTTCTTATATTATATTATATGTCTTTCTTTTGTATTTAAAACATGTACATTTGGAAATTTGTAAATGACAAAAAAAATTCAACAACCTGACAATTGTGTTATGTATGTGTGCAAGCATGTATTTTGTATAAATAAAAAATCGATGAAATAATGATCAATTAGTAGTTAGTAATAGTAGTCATAACCTAAAAATGTTTATGCAAGGTTGCCATTGAGAGTAAATCTTCCAACCATCATTTTTTTTTCAATTTCTATATTTCTTCTGTTTTGTTTGATTTTTAACCAATATAGCTCAAGATCTCCAATGCAAGACAGTCTGTGCAGCTCTACAACAGAAGGGCCAAAGAACTGTATCCTTTTGTTTGAAACCTTATCCCCCGAGCCGAGATTTTAATTGCTTTGATCTTCAATTTTTCTAATGAGAAATGACAGCATTTTGGAGCTAACAAAACTGTCATTGTATTGTGTCTTGATCTGTTCAATTACAATGTCCCATGGCTGTGTTGTGGATTAACTATATGACAAGGTTAACAAAGTAAAACACTGTTTTCATTTTAACTTGTAACAGTGCTATCAATATCACTGGAAAAGTTGTTTGCTATTTTTTAAGATTGAGAAAAAGAATTTTGGTGTATGCGTATCATTTATGAACCATATTGAATTGAATGTAAGTAAATATATTCAGTGTTTAAGGTCATTGGCCCACATCACATCATAAAAAATTTGTTTGTTAAATTATAAAGTTTCCATAAGAAAAAAGTACAGGTTGTGCAAATATCTCTTATCATGGGTCAAACATGTGCTGAGTCAGGTTGGGAGGAATTAACAACTTCCTTTGATGGACAAAATTTGGACAATAGAAAATATAATGAAATTTAGATTCAGATTCATGAAAATTACATCTCTCATATAAAAATGAATTTATTCATTTCCACTGACAAAGATTAGGTACCAGAAACTAAATTTTCAAACTAGCTGTATGCCAAATTTATCTGTTCCATTTGAAAGGTCTATATCCACTGAGCATTTTGGTACCATTCTTTAACCTCTCAGTCAATATTTAAGAAAATTGTAGTTGTTTAAAATTTGATCAAATTTGTTAAAGTCAGTCAGTGGCTGCAACCCCATGTTTGACAGACAATAAAAAAAGTGCCAAGTGCACTAAACATCTCCACATTAACAGAGTACAATCACTATAACAAATATATGGAGCCTTATTTTTCTCAAGACTGTGAGATCTTTACAAATCAGTATTTTATCACTCCAAACACGATGATCTGTCGTTATTTCGACAAAAACACTGAGCGTTGACCCGGCGGCGCCGCACCGGCCCCCGCGGCGAGCGAGTCGGCTCTATACTGTAGTGTATCCCGCGTGCGGGGTCACATGCTTTCTGAGTCTCGCGGAAGGATTGATGAAAAATAATTCCAAGTTAATAACTTTATTCTAATAGAAAATGAACTGATCTTTTAATTGATACCTGTTATAAGTCGGTATTATACATATTTTGTGTAAAAAGGGATCTTTAAACATTTTGACGGTATTTTTAAAAGCTTTCTATAAAGACGCCAAAGGCTAAACTTATATCACGGGAAAGCTCGTTTAAAGCTCTACAGTTCTCCGCCAATGAAAAGACGGTATTTAATCATCCCTCGTTCCGCGAAGCATTTGAATGCACGCGTGTCAATTTTTCAACCGGCCGATGTCGCATTCCGACCGCGAGGGGCTTCCCTTTCGTCGGCGATTCTCCAGCTCCTAATAATCGGACATATAAACAACCTACACCATTGTAATGAGGAAAAGCTGAACTTTTACAAGGTGTACGGCATTTGGTGTTTTATAGCGAAAGAGCAAAGAAACAGCGATCGGAATTACCCCGATTTTACCGATACCACGCGGTCGGAAGGCCACGAGTGCCCGCAAGGCCGTGTTTACGCTACCTACAAAGATTGTTATTTAATGGAAGGCTATGACTTTTTAACAAGGCTATGAATTGCATGTAAGAATTTTGAAAAGTACAGATCGGAACAAACTATGGTAACAGGGAAACATGAAATCAAACTGCTCAACAACCAGATCAACTTTAAGATTCAAAATGGGTGATATTCTATTGCTTTCACTTTCTGAATAGATCAATCATGTTTTGCATTGCATGAAAATAGAAAATTGTGGAAATTTATCAGTCCTGAATTATAATGCGTTTAGTATTTAGCCTGATATTTTGAAAGTATCACTGTTCAGAAACAACTCATTTAGTTGCATTTCTTCTCATTAAATTACAGTAAAACAACCAAATCTATGAAACAATTCTCTTGTGAATCTAATAGACACAACTACAGTGGAACTCGGATTCAACGAGGTCGCCGGGCCTGACCTAAAATCTCGTTGAATCCGAGTGTTCGTTATACCAAACACAAGGTTTTGTATACATCATTACAGGCACTGAGCAAATAATGTATAGAGAGAAGTCGCAAGTAGTGCCTGAAATGCCTGCATATTATGAGCTGTGTAAAAAAAAGACCGATTTGTTCAAATGCACACGCCTGTGTCATCTCGATTGTTTACCAAAAAGTTTTGTTGCTGTGTAGAGCCTAGCGTAGGGCAACTTTTGATTCCATAGACCAGCGCACAATTCATTACGTAGATCTACGTCAAGACTAGCTTTTATCATTGTAATAATGATCAGTTGCCGAGGGGAAAAAAGACCGTGACGCGTCTGTATCTGATGTTCAACGCCCGGACAGCTAGTGCCCCCCCCCCTCCCCGACACGCACACAGCCACACGTGTGCAGGACGCCCATCCGACCCCAACACACGCCAGAGTAAGTAGACACGTGCATGTGCCAACAACGCATGCGTTAGTATGAAAAAATGCCGCTGATGAGTCGCATGCAATTGGCTAAGTGAATAATGGTTCACGATGCAGGTGCAAGGTGGTTTTCGGGAATAGATTGAGTTCGTTTTCAGAGAAAAATGAGCGAAGCCACGTCTGCGGGGGCTGTTCACCCTGGAAGCCACCTCGTTGAATCGGAGCTTGCTGATTAAGTGCTCATTGAATCCGGGTTACATTTATTGATCTTAAAGAAGAAAAAAAAACGGGGAATCTATCTCATCTCGTTGAATCCGAGTTCTCGTTGAATCCGAGCTCGTTGAATCCGAGTTCCACTGTAAAATAGTCCTCATCATCGTTGCCTTTCTCAACCTGGGTCAGGGTATAGGCCACGAACAAACACTTTCCACCTTTCCCTATCCTGGGCTAGCCTCTTGATGTTGTTCAAAGTCTTCCCACTTTTCTGCACATCGATTTCTGCGACTCTTCTCCAGGTTCCAAGTAGTTTTCCCCTTGATCTTTTACCCTTTTACCCTGTGGGTTCCAATCCAAAACCAGAATAGTGGGGACACAAATATTTTGCTCACAATTTTTCTATAATCAACAGTGTAGAAAAGTGGAATACTGAAGTCATCTTACTCCAATTTGAATAAATAAATCAGAATTTAGATAAGCTAAAAATGGTAGAGAAGCTGGGACTAAGATCATTTTTTTTCCATGAATCGCATTTGTTCCAGTGCTGTTTTTAATATATTCCAATTGAAATGTGATGCTGTAGACAGAAGTGACTAGCAGAAAACACATTTTTCTTAACGATCGACAGAATTGAAATGAATTTAGACATCGCTAATGAAATTGAGAGTCAAGAGCATGAGACACACACAGAAGTAAAGAGGTTGCTCAGGAAATACGAAAAATTCAGGGTGAGTCCAATTGTATTAGGTAGTGCACCTGGTCTTTCATGGGCCTTGATCTTCCTCAGGAAATGTGTTAAAAGGATTAATATGTTTCAATGGTTTATTTTTTCCCAATTTATGTAACATTGAAAGTTGTTTGTATGTTTTTTTACATCTGTTATTCAATGGAGTTGTGAGGCATACCTGTGTGTTTCAGTCTAAATTAGCATTGTTGGCACATATTTTGGGTCTGATTTCAAAGAGTCAGTGCATGAATGTTGGTACATGAACTAAGGACAGCAAAAATGCATTAGGAGCAGTTCTTTGACTTCAATTTTAGAGCTCTGTGGACGTGGTACGTTTGTAATAATAATAATAGATAGCATTTGTATAGCGCATATCCCCGCTCAACAGCAGGCTCTATGCGCTTTACACTATATTATTACCCAAGCAGACCATAGAACACTCCGAAACATTCTCAGCTTCCCGGGAAGCATACAGTGCGAGCAGCCGATTAAGCGCTCAAACACTAACAAACGTTTGTGAGAGATATGATGAAAAGGGGAAAAATGTGGAAAAGAAAAATACTCCACAAAATGATGTACCTGCTGTGTTCTCAGTAGAAAGTTGATATTGGCTTTTTTTGTACTTCAATTGTCTTTAAGAATATAAATATATATATATTTAAAGGATATATTCAATGTTGCAGGAATTTTATTCGTCTTTAATACTGAATAAGAATTTTTTATTCTATGATCTTTCTCTCAACACGGCAGTGTTTTTTGCCCCAATACCTTTCATTGAAAAATGTGAACTTCAATCAATATTTATTCCCTCCAGGGTGGAATTGCGACTCTCAACACAAATTTTGCGAAAGAACTGTCAGAAGCTCAGAGTGATCTGGAATTCACAAAAGAGAACATCAGATTGAGAATACAAGGTAACAGAATTGAATTGTACTTGACAGAAGACAGCGTAAATATTGAATAAATCCAGTAAATGTAAGATTGCTTAGAAATTCAATGTTCTTGAAACGTTGTTCATTTTATGGAGAAATCTGATGAGACTTCATATTTTGTGTACTTGAAGCATTGCTCAAAAAAATTGTTCTTTTACATGTAGGTGTTTTTACATCCCCATTGACACGATTTAGATCATTCATGAGGTGAGCTTCCCACCCTGCCTGTCAGGGCCAACTCGGGCTGAGAGGGATACAACATCTGAGCAGAACAACAGCTATACTCTATAAAAATGTTCTCCCCACTCTGGAATTTAACTCGGTCTTTTGTGTGCAATATCAAAGTGTCTAACTGCTGCACCACATACATCGGTAGCATTGTTCAGATTGCATAGCAATCCGATGATACTTCATGAATTTGGAACATTTTTTGCCCAAGCCTGTTACCATCTGTTTCCCCAGCTCTAGAGAGAGAACTTGAAGAAATGGACATCAAGTTGAAGTCTAAACAAGACGAACTCAATGTGTTGCATAGCTACAAGGTAAATTACTAAACAACAATGTCTTGTCTTGATGTGTTAGGTTGTAATTAAAACAAAGCCGTTTTTTTTTCTTATTTTCTTGTCCATGTGTCAGTAAAAATAAACCCTTTTATTTCTTATTTGTGTGTGTGAGATATTGCCGAATTCTTAAGGTGAGTTGTTTTGGTGACCAAGTTATTCAAGATACCAGACTTAACTCATTCGCTACGTATTATTTTTGGCTTGTGGACAATTTTTTTTCGGGAGGGCAAATGAGATGATGACTAGTGGGCAGTTAAAAGGCCTTTGGGGCCACAAATTCAAATAAATATCAACATATCATTTACCAATATTTTCAGTATGGATTGTAGAATACATCTGTAATGTTTATTTATGGATTTTTCAACTTTTTTTCCTGTAAGAGGCGATTATGCAACACAATTTTGATTGGATGCGGATAAAATTTGAAAATAAAAACTTTATAATCTTTGGTGAAACTCAAAAAATATGCTTGCACCTAGTCAAATGATACATCAAAATAACCATAAATGAATATAGAACTGGAAAATATTGAAAAGTTTGCAGTTATTTACATACATTCCATAACATTTGTACATTTGGATCATAACATCCGGTATTGAAAAAAAATATTTTTGTAAAATCTTGAAAAACGATCACAAACAGAAAAACCCACTCGTATCTTATATGGAATTATTCAGAATTGCATTTGGAATAAACCTATACATGTCTTGAGTGGCACATTTTGTGTAATTTCATCTAAAAGTAGTGATTTCAGGGACAAAAAAAATATTTTGACAATTTAGATCTAGACCTAGATCTGGCACTCAAAAATATTCATTTCTCAATAACAGTGCATTGGCAATATGAGTCCAATCGTATCAATACTATAGTGGGCAAAATAATGATAGATTTTGTTGTGTAAAATTACTAAGACTGGTGTCCGGACTATAACTTTGGCATCGCGATAAAACAAAGTCGAATAAACTACGAAATCACGTTTCAAAACTGAATATAAACTTCCGATTTTCAGTGGAAATGCTTGACTCGGAAGTCAACATTATATTATGACCTTTATTTTAACATGGTTATGTGGACTGGAATAGAATCTAAGCTAAAATTGAAGATCAATTCTCAAGCCGCCGGGGGCGGCTTAGCGTACTGACGGCACTTTACCCGCGTCACCCCCCAAGGCTCGGCATAGCGAATGAGGTAAAAAGATCAAAATATTCCATTTATGTAACTGTCATAGGTGGTGATCTAGCATAAGGCTAGTGTCAGAATAACATACTGTGTATCGCTTCTTGTAATTAAATTCCTGCATGTGGTTGAAAATGAATGATGCATCTGATGTGATATGTACATTTTGTCTGCTTTACTTCTCTTTTCTGAATTTTAATGAGAGTTTAAAAATGTTATGTATACCTACATGTGTTTTTTTGGTCCTGTACAGACAAGAAAAATTTTCGGCTGTGATAATAAAGTATTATCTCGTATCTTATCTTATCTTATCTTGTACCAGTTGCAACTGCCACTGCCCTGTTTGCTGCTCAGTCTTCAGAGAGACTTTGCTAAATGTAAAGTAAAGTGTTTGGAGTCAATGCTCCTATCAACACTATTTGGTTATTCAAGAGGCAAGACTTCCAAAATTTATTTCTGTTGCTGATAGGACCAAGACAAATTGGTTGAGAGCCTTGAGAACTCCACAAAACGACCCAAATTTAAGAAAGCCCAGTCAGGGATTTGAAACTTTGTATTTATAGTCCAGCTAGCGGAGCACCTTTATTGAATGTAATACTTGCATATATAGGCCTATAGGTGTTATAAAAAAAGAACCCTGTATAGAACGTATGACTAGTTCTATCTCTACAGTAGTCTCCGCCTAAACGCATGCCATACAAAAGCACGCTCCGCTCAAACGCATGCTTTCGTCATCTGACGGGTTTTTTACTATATAATTTAGATGTACAAACACACGGTCACTCCCTCTAAACGTACGCTCCGATCTGCGAAACACGGCGACAGGTAAAGCTTGACTAGGGGAAATTTTCTTTACGACTACTGTACAATCTGCACATCTTGCATTTGACAAGCCTAGAAAAACGGATATTTGGTGAGACTGCCCCTTACGTTGAACAATGAGAGTGATGGATGGACAGCGTTTTCACACCCAACTTTCCACAGACACATAGGTCTAGGACTGGGCGGTGAAATGTTGGGGGGTTGGCGGACTGAAACATTATTTGATTGGTCACTGGAAATGCATCTCTTTGGACTGGTGTTTGAGTGACTGCGTGTTGGCTAATGTTTAGTTAAACCTTAGCCTATGATGCGCAACACACGTGAATGCTCGTTCATGAATTTACCGTCGAGGGTGGTCGCTTGGAAAGCCACGTGGCTAAGCCGTCGTCTCTATGACTATCACCAACAATTTTTTTTTTAGGCTATTGGTTTCCGATATTTCATGGTGCATTCATTACATTGAGTCTGTCTTTCTCAGGACAAAGAGTACCCTGTGAAGGCTATGATGATCGCCAATCTACACACAGAGATTGAAAGTGTCAAGAATTCAAATCAGGTAAATTTCATTTTAATTGGATCAATTCCATAAATGAGAAGTCAGTATCAGTTTCTTTGTTGGCACAAATTGGCTTTCTTTTTGTTTTGTTCTGGGTTTTTTTAAACTAAGTATGATGGTGGGAGGAGATGGGATGGGGAGGGGGGGGGGGGGCTAATGAGATGAGGTTTGGAAAAATGAGATGGGATATAGGATGCAGTTTGGGGTACTGGATGAACATACCTAGATAAATATTGTATGAGGGGTGTTCTGTAAATCTTTACCCTTACTATGAAAGTAGCTAGCCTGAAACTTGAAATTTGACACTCACAATACTTCTTCTCTACATGGTCAACCTGCAAATTGACACAGTTTTGCCATTTTTGTTTGACCTTTAAAATTAAAAGTCAGTGAGCATTGTAATTGTATGACCTTGGATGAGACTCAAATTCTTCCTCCACAGCAAATGTTGCTTCTTCATTGCTATGGAAACACTCTCCTTTTAGAATTTTTTTCAGATTTTGGAAAAGGTTAGAGTAAAAAGTCAGAGGGTGAATAGGGTGGGGGGGGGGGGGGGGGGAGAACTTTGTAGCCTCACTGCTTCGCTGTCTGAGTTACCTTCATCACTCTGTGCGCTGGAGCATTGTTGTGCAGCAGGAGATGGGTTTTTTTCACTGCTTCCATCATATTAAAGTTGTACCTTCACTAAAAGTAAAAGTGCCTTTAATTTCAAATCGTTCATCCGAATTTTTCAATTTTAATGTAAGCTGTACTTCAATAACAAATTTTCTGTTTGCCCGGCAGGAGGATCAAGAGGAGCTGGAACACATCATCAACACAGAGCTAGGGAAGTACGACAAAGAGAGAATACGACTGACAAACGATATCACTCGCCAAGTTACAGAGGTGAGGAGATCAGTTTGTCTTTGTGGTCTATATTTCTATAGGATGGAATATTTGCCTTGTAACTAGATTGTATGCTCAAATCTCAAGACAGTCTCCAGTAGGGGGGCTCTCGTGGCCCAGAGGTTAAGGTGTTGGCCTCTCATTCAAAGGTCCCGGGTTCGAATCCGGGTAGCGACCAAAAAATTTTCTTCTCTAAAATTGTCTCCTTTCACCTCCTTTCCTGCTCTCTAGCAATGTTCTGTTGTCTGCTTTCATTTCCACTTTCTGCCCCCCACCCCCTCACCTCCTTTGCCCCCTCCTCTGGGCTCCTGACTCTTTCTGCAGCCTTTCTAATGTTACTCCTTGGTTCCTCCTTACTGCTGTCTTTCTGCCACACCCCTGATCTTCTGGTAGGAAAGATCTACACCTAGCCTTCTCGGACAAGGGCGAAAAATCTCGGAGGGCCCGTGTGCAAGTTGCGCACGTTAAAGATCCCTTGGTGGTCTAAAATCGATAAGAGTAGGCTTCGGCCACCACCCGGGCAAAATTCAAAATTTCCTACCAACTGAAAATATTAGGAGTGTCCCGCGCGCTCATATGACCTATGCAGTTGCGAGCGCCGTAAAACACTTTACACCAAAAAAAAAAAAAGTCTCCAGTACAGTTCATCTCTGCATATGATGGTCTGCCAACAAGACTCATGGCTTTGCCTGAGGGCTTTCTCATTTTGCTGTAAACATTATCAAAATATGTTTCGCGCCCATCAAACACAATTTACAGCAATATGAAAGCAGGGATGCCACTAGGACTTAGTGAAAATACCTGAAAATTCACGCAGTTGCATTTACAAACAATAAGACAGTTGTCACATTAAATAAACACAAATAATAGTATGGGGTTAAACAGAAAACAAATGGTTGGAATAATAATTGTTCTTTTAGTGAAAATAACAGAAAATTGTCTTGGCTTAGTGGCTTGGAGAGCAGGTTCAACATGTATAAGTTAGAAAAGTTTTCATATGACCTTGTGTAATTCCGAGCGTCACAAAACTCTAATTGAACTAAACTAAAGTAGAAATTATTCTCACTGGTGAGATACCGTACTGACTAAAATTTCAGCTTGAATGCCCTGTGGTTTTATCATGACATGAAAAAAACAAGTAATTTACACAGATTAATACTTGGCACTTCAAAAAAAAAAATGTTTTCTGAAATAAGCAGAAATGAATTTCGTCTCATTTTGCAATGAACTTCTTTTGTAATTGTATACATACAAAATTACCCATTTGATTGACTCTTCAAGGGATCAGTGAAAAGGGTTTGCATAATGCGTTGTCGTCGTCAACTAATTTTTGTGAATATCTTCCAAATGTGTAAGTAAGTTAAGAAGTAACTTAAAGAAAGTTGGTCGTCGGTGAACAAACGTCACAGGTGACCCACTGGAGACAAGGTGGTTGTTAGAGAGAATCTCTCTGGCAACCATCAGAGGCAAGGCATTTTCAGTATTGGCAGCCCCACTAGCGCACGAGCGATGAATTACAGCTCCCGAAAGATAGATGGATAGATAAATGGATGGAGGTATAGATAGATGGATAGATTGATGGATGGATGGATGGATGGATAGATAGATAGATTGATAGACGTGATCTAAATGATGAAGACAGACAGTAAGAGGGAGACTGAGAGAGAGATAAAGAGTGAGAGTGGAAGAGAGAGTACAGCTGTCCCCGTCGTTTTAGGCAAGAAAAATTCTGAAATTATAATTACTCAAACTGAGCCCAAAAATGTGAAATTAATTTTTAACTTAGAATGATAAAGGAAAATATTCAGAAATTGTGCAAAAAATGATCAAATTTTGCTAAATTATGCGGGGTGCATAGAACCACAAGGACAGGTACTGAGAGAGAGAGAGTGTGTGTGTGTGTGTGTATGTGTGTGTGTGTGTGAGAGAGAGAGAGAGAGAGAGAGAGAGAGAGAGAGAGAGAGAGGGAGAGGGAGAGAGAGAGCTTTTATGACATGGAGCGGCTTAATCATGTATGCTAATAGTTATGTTATGTAAACCAAGATAAACGTAATCAACCTGTTGTGTTTACTTCATGACTAAATCACCATAATGATAAATATACATTGGACCTCCGTTCTACCAACAACAAAAAATTAAGTAGTTGTATGGGTTTAACGCTCGTTATTTAAAAGGCGGGACCTCCAAATTTAACATCTTTCTCCAATAGGACAGAGCCAAATGGGTTGAGAGCTTTGAAAACTCCACAAAACGACCTAGGTTCAAAACCCCCAGCCGGGCATTCGAACCAAGGCCATCTGCTGAATTGTTCAGCATGAACTGACACTAACAGAGAGTCCTCAAAAGTATTAGACTAGATTTAAGATTGATTTATGACACCTTATCTCTGTCTATGAGAAATTGCATTGACGAACAAGAAATCCTTTTTTCAGGAAGCTGTCGCCATGATGCACCCAAGCTTAAAAGACATGGCACTTCAGAATCTGGTCATGAAAAAGGTTTGCTTTTATTTTTATTTGTAAAATAACTTTCAATGTACAACAGCCTTTTAAAATAAATTACAACTGGAATTCCTGGAAAAAGATGGGGCTCACTACAGGCATACATTCTGAATGATTACCAGAAAATTTTACTTCTCATGACATTTTTATTACAAATTTTGATAATCAGCCAGGTACTCGATGTGGGCCAGATTGAAAGAAAAATGTTATGTTATGTAGAAATTGAACTCACATCTTCTGTGTGCAAATGCAGAGTCTAAATACTACAGCACAGAAAACGATCTGGCATGAGGCTATAGTCTATAGCCCAGGACAGAAGTAGATGGAGAGCTCTTGTTGGTGGCTTGTTTGTTTGAGTAAAGAGAACCTAGAGAAGCACATCAATACAATAGTCATTTAGTGCTGGGTAAAAGTAAGACAGACAGACCGATAGAAACAACAGAGGGAAAGTAAAGAAGTAGGAGGACCTACCAGTGGCGCCCTCCACCCACCCACTTGGTGGCATACTCCGGTACAAGGTGAGGAAGGATGATGATGGTGATGAGGATGATGATGATGATCACGATGATGATGATCATGATGACGATGTTGGTGCAATGATGATAATGATGATCATGATAAACAATTTGATTAAGTATGATTTTTTTTCTACAATTAAACATGATGATGATGATGAGTATATTTATGAAGTGACTTGAATGAAGTGTTGGGTGTTTGCTGTTTGTCCTGCCAGGAAATCGACTTTCACAAACTCGGACAGGAAGAGCTGGCCCGAAGCAATGAAGTTTTGGAAGAGGAGATTCAACGGCTGCTCAGAGACCCCAAGTCTAATATCAGGCTCCAGATGTTTCCGGAGTTCTTCCCCAATAGAGGAAAGTGAGTGCCTAACCTTCTTTGTGATAATTTGATCTTCGTGGTTATTACAACAGTCTAGCATGCACATAGCAACATCAGCTGGACATGGATGTCTTTTTGTTATGTTGTATGAACTCAGCTATGTATGTATTTTGAATACAAAGTAGGGCTAAACATCTATATGAACAAATTCAGAACCTGAAAAGCTCTCGGCGATGTGCATGCTAGACTGAATAATAACATTGTAGGGTGGCAAAGTTTTTAAGAATATTATTATTCAATACATGGAGAAGCCTGCTATATCATGAAAAATGACAATTACGTCTATAATTACTAGTATATATATATATATATATATATATATATATATATATATATATATATATATATATATATATATATATATATATATGTATGTATGTATGTATGTGTATATATATATACAGTCAAACCTGTGTAAGACGGCCACCCATTGTCAAGGAGAAAAGTGGCCGTTTAAGACAGGTGGCCGTCTTAGGCAGGACTGATCAAGATGAAGAAAACAAACCATTCCTATCTGAAGTCCCAATCGAAATAGCCTCGTTGTTGTTGTTTTTGTTTTTGTTGGTTTGTATTTTGTTTGTTATTTTTATTTTGTTGCTGATTTTGCGCCAGGGTGACAATACAATGAGATGTATCAGACGAGGAAGACCCAGTGCCATGTTAAAACAAACTCATGGGTCGCTACCACTCGGAGAGCGAGCGACGCTTCTGTCGCAAGTTCATGTTGACGTCCATTGTTCATTGTTACTTTGTTACAACTGGGTAAACAGTGACCACTCATCTCACTTACGAATTGTGTATGAGTTCTGGGTGGGGCTGAGGGGTTATGAGGTATCACACGCTTTCCCCACCTGCAGCTGAAAATTAGTAGGCCTACCTATTGGTCAACAGTGGGAGGGGCCTACGCAACATGATCGGTTGGAGGGACTACCAAACAACAACGACAAGTGATTGGATTATGGCGGCTCGCCCACAACGCCAGAGGTCAATGCACGATTTATGACAAAACGTAATGGAGTCACTAAGGTGGCCGTCTAAGACAGGTGTTATTGCTTAGTGTGATAGGGGCTGTGTGTTAAAATAAGGTGGCCGCGGCCGCGTTGGACAGGTGCCCGTTTTACACAGTTAAATTATATAGAAAAAACGCAAGGGGGGAAATGGAAAGTGGCCATTTGTACAAGTGACTGTCTTATAGAGGTGGCCGTCAGGGCAGGTTCAGCTGTATATATATTATATATATGCATGTGTTGTTATGTCTACAATGTATGCATGTTTTTCTACCAATTCAAAATATGGTGTTTTTGGATGTCGACAACATATGCGACACTTTTAGAAATTATTGAGTCAACATGAGCCTTAGGTTAGCAGAGGTTGTGCTAAGTAGGGATGTAGTGTCTGCTGAGCTTTGTGGTCAAAGCCTATTGTGAGTGGTTGATATTGCTGTCATACCATCTAGTACATACACAGCGAAATCTTTTTGTTGTGAACACTCAAATTTGGTTATGTATGTATTTTGAATAAATAGTCAGGCACAGATAACATGAACACGGAAAACTTAAAAATCATGTAGGCCTATAGCCCTTACAATTTGACATTGCCTGTGTGATACCACTTTATTATTTTGTTATAATTGATTTGCCGAAATTATGAATGTGTCAACCCCTGATGTGTTTGAGTTATCTATGCTCAACTGTACAGAGAATATACAGTGGAGTCCACTTATAACGAGTCCGGAAAAAACGAGAAGTCTGTTATAAAGACACTATTCTAAAATGCGTTTTTTTTCTCTTCTTTACCTTTGTAAATAAAATACTGCTATAGCGCAATCAGACAAACACGCGGGTCGGTTATAGCGGAATATTGCTGCTGCTTTGCGCAGTGCATGGGCCAATTATACATAATGTAAAACCTCGCCTGTTGAGAAACTAGTTGGTGATCTAGCGATACAAAAAAAGGGAGAGCCCGTATGTGTCAATAATGAAGGCCGGAGCGACTGAGTAGGGAGGGTGTGGCATGCGCAGACAAGCAGAACGCATCGCGTGATAGACCAGCGTAAGCTTAGTTTAGATTATCAAGGCCTACCATGCCTCTCACTTGATGGATGGAGTGAATGTGTGACGTGCACAAGCTGACGAAATGCACCACAGGGTATGGTGGGGTAGGGGAAAACACAGCGAGTGAGTTAGCCCAGAGCCCTTTCTTTCTGATCGTCAACGCAGAGATGTCAGTCACAGAGCTGGTTGTAACATAGTACAAGTACTCCGGTACTTGTACTTACGTTACAATTTTCTGTACTTTTACAGTACTCCGGTACATTTTGAGAATCAGTACTTTTACTGTACTCCGATACTTTTTATAAACGTACTTTTGAGTATTTTTTAAGTACATTTTGAGTACTTTTGAAGCTTAATGAAAGGGTAAGTGCCGGCGTTTCCGATCATAATTTAGGGAACAAATACTCGGGCGGTCACAGCCGATCAACCAAGAGTTAAAATTGAGATCAAAGAACAGCCCGTCGTGTCAAAGATCAGCCACTCTCGTGAATGTGGTCACAAGCGTTGTAAAACTCCATGAAATGGTACAATGTTTGCCCCAGACGGGATCACACCGAGGTGTGAACTGACCGATGCGTTTCTTTTCCCCAACCATCGCACTCGCCTGAGCTCGCCAACTAAATTTACATCGCTCCCTGGGTGGGTAGGGCCTACAAGTTTGCTCCAGGCAGGATCACATCGAACTGTGAACTCTTCCCTGGCCATTGAAGGCAGTTTTTTCTCTATTCCCGAATTTGCGAGACAGCCTGAATTTTAATTTCTGTGGTCACAACGTAATGGTGCGTAATGACAAAGATGGGGGGACTCAATCAGAGATGAAAGGCTAAAATATTTGGACAGGTAAAGGGGAGGGGCAACTGGATAAACATAGAAAGATCTCGAGACTCACGATAGGCTACTGTGAGTGTGATTGGTCATCAAAGTTGACCACTCTTTGCTCGCCAAATGTCATAAACCACCCTGGGGTCATGTCAGTTCATGGGTCACTGTAGATTCTTCCTTGGCTTCGTCGGCTCCTTTGCTCCTGAGCACTGGGATCTTAGGCGGAGACTACTGTAGTAGAGAATCTTTGGTTACACACTTACTAGACTCTAGGAAACTACATGTATTTTGGTTTGCCGTGGGCGCCGTGGACTACACAGTGTGACCAAAATCTGTCTTACCACTGTTATAATAAATTGAAACTGAAACTGAGTTCTCAATGTATATTTAACAATTTTTTAGGCTATCTCAATTTTTTTTAAACTTTTTTGTGGTTTGTGCTTTAAGGCTACCTTGATTCCTTGAGGATTTGTTAATGAAGAATTCAAGGCACTTTTCCATTTCTTTGCTGGCCATTTTAATCAGTTCTATGTTTTTTTAAGAGCAACTTTGACTCTAGGTTTTCCAATTTGGATACTTTTCCTACTTTCTGACCTCTTGGACTGACTTACATTTGATCAAATTGTCTTGCTCAAACAAGTTGTATTCATAATATCACTTACTCTCTAGTTGCATCTTTTTGTTTGTTTGTTTTTTTAATTTAACTGACCTTTTCCATCTACGTTCAGTGCGTATATTCAAATGCTTTGTATACTTTTTATATTTTTAGTAATAAATGGCCTAATTTGTCAAATATACGGGATATGTTATTTAATACAGTCCGTGCCGGCTATAAGCACGCCAGCTTAAAGCACGTTTCGGACTCAAGCACGCTAAACGGCTCTTACCAAATTTTTGCTATATAAATTACACGCCTTTAAGCACGGTAACTTTGGCTTCAGGCACGATTCATTACAAGACAGTCAATACTTTTATGATGACCCATCAAAGTTCGAACACAGTCTACACTGCAGCAGTGGAGTGTGTTAAGAGAAACACAGAGAACGCAAGTGATGGAGACACACACTCACACGGGCGGAGAGGAAGGCAGAGAGATGCACACAGCCGCGCACGTGGACATAGGATCTAGCCTAGGGCAAAGTTACGCACAGACTAAAAAATAAAAAGAGAGTCAGGGAGACGAAAAAGGGCGGTTGGCTGCGATTTCACCTTTGACCCTTGCTATCCATTAATCCTGATTGTGTATCACGCGCGAAGTGGGATGAAGGCGGTGGTATGAATGTGGCATAGCGGGCAGTGGTACGCACAGGCAACGTGTAGGCCTAGTGTGCTGTATCGTGACTGGCCGTCTAAATTAAGTTTTCATTTCCCATTCGACCACAAAACAAAAACAAACAAGCAAACAAAAACTACCATGGTAGGTAAATGTAACAGTGCACACTTTTGCTGGACCGCTATAGGCCTACTTACAAACAAAGGGAAATAGCATGCGAAATTTTCTACCTGAAAATCTCTGGATTATGTCTACTTCGCACTCAAGCACGCTTCGGATTTAAGCACGCTTATGCTTTCTCCCAATGACCGTGCTTAAAGCCGGCATGGACTGTATGTTTTGCATTAGCACTGAAGTGTTTTAGCATAATAGCAGAAAGTACTCAAAATGTACTCATAAGTACTTTTTTTAAAAGTACTTGTACTCAAGTACATTTTACAGGAAAGTACTTTTACTGTACTTAAGTACATATTTTAGATTGTACTTAAATTTGTACCTAAGTACCTTTTTAAAAGTACTTTAACAGCTCTGGTCAGTCAACATCGCTAGATCCAGCGCTAGAGGTCATGTTGAAACAAAATCATCATCAGGGCAGATAGCGAAAGGAAATAAACAGAACACCAAACTCATAGATTAGGCCTACTTTACAGTTTCCCTTGAATTTTTTACTGGATCCCTTATAGTAGTTATAGCAAAAATCCTGCTATAACGGACATTTTGCTTCGGTCGCCTCCTTCTCGTTTTAACAGGATTCCACTGTACAACCATGTATACGAAAAAAATTTGGTACCTGAAAATCTGTGCAGTATATGCATGTTTTGCTATGTTCATGTTCTGTATGTGCAATCTAGACTGTTTATATTTTTGATGTATTTCGTTGTTTTCCTCAGGTGTACCCCGGATATGGACGTTGTGTTGGACATACCAAAACAAGAGTGGCTTCCCATCTGATACCTCCAACCTCCATGTCTCTGAATTTCTTCATCATGAAGCTCAAGGGCTGAATTTTCCTCTTCATATCAACCAGGGCTCTGAGGAAACCAGTAAGACATTGAACATATTCCAAACTGATGTTTTACTTGGTCTGATGGGCACCAGTTGTCATGGGAATCCGCCATCTTTACATTTGAGTTCGAGCCCTTCAACTCGATTTTTTTAACATACCAAACAAAAGAGAATTTTTCTGTCTTGTCTCGGAAAGCCAGAGCACTTTAGTAAAAAAAAAATGACTGAAGGACTTCACATTTTTCGTTTGACACTTTATATGCAGCCTCATCCTTGAAAATTTTTAAAGCAGTTTTCTCAAAACATGTCCTTTGAACTCCAGTGCCCTTTGAAGTGCTATCACTTTTTTTAATGTCTCAATAGCCCCCAATTAATGTGTAAAATGCCTAACAAAGCTGCATCTTTTCCCATAAGCAAACCAAAAGGCCACTTTTGAAAATTTGAAACTTCCAACAGATTTCCTCAGAACCAGCTATGTGTCTGATCTGTGTCAAATCCAGCTATCCACAAGGACCGGCGGAAGTTTAAATTTATATTAACTTTTTTTTTGCTTTTAATGACTGTGTTTTTAAGCCATTGACACAGTTTAGATCATGTAGGAAGCGGACACCCTGCCTGTCAGGGCCAACCCATCCTGAGCGATGTAGCCTACAATATCTCAACAGAAAGAACGAGATACTTGATAAAAGCTCTCCCCACTTGGGAATCAAACTTGGGTCTCCTGAATGCGAGTGCGACAGTGAAGTGCCTAATCACTACACCACAGACACGTCCAATGGATGTATGAAGTGAGAAGTTTTGCTGGAGGAGCAGAAGCACAAAGGCACATCGCTACCTCAGAATTACAAAGTTTTATCTTGACATTTTTGGCCATTTTGAGTTACTAAGACCATGAGGTCAGAAACTTAACCCACTCAGTACCACTGGATTTCCTGTAGGAAGATGGCTCAGGACCATGCAAAGGGGAATAAATCAATGTTTATGATGTAGTGGGTATTTTTTTTAAATCATTATTATAAAATAACCAATCCATTGATCAAAAAAAATCGTGAAACAACTTCTTCACAAAAGCATAAATTTTAATTTAAAAATTACTTGTTTACTGTGAGTGTTGACTGTATTTCATAATTGAAAATAAAATCAGCGGAGTCGTAGATCTAGATATCTAGATCTAGTCATATGCTCCTCATTGACCTCATTCTCATTTTCCGAATCCCCCTCCAAAGACACAGTTAGATCACCATCAATGTCACTTTCACTTCTATTGCTACCATTCTGTGGGTTTTCTCCTCCAGCACTGATATTTTTATTAAAATTATTCAAAAATTCGCCAATCGGTCTGAACGCGATGCGGGCGGCTGCGAAGAACGCTCGATCTTAGCTTGCGACCTGTGTGAACTGCAGTTTGTTTACATTGAATTTAGTCCAACTAAAATTTCCAGAGTTATGTCCCTGCTGCTCTCAAGGAGAGAATGATTATATCTATTTTCTGATTGGTCGAAATGCGGGTTAAATCTATACGATGGTTACCAAGTGTGTACACTTCACTAGAAACAACACTACTAGCACGCGGCCGGTCTTGGCCGTACAGTAGTCTCCGCCTAAGCGCACGGTGCTCGGGAGGGCTCCATAACGTGTGTTTATACGGAGCGTGCGTTTACATGAACCTTTGCAAGGGGAGGAAGGGACGCAGTCATCTCAATTCCTTATTACTCTAGTGACCTCCCTTGGAGGGAGGGGGTCATTTTGGCAGATAATGTGACGACACATGACTGTTTTGTGAAGGATTCCCCGACAGGGGTTAAGAATACAAAGGCGTTGAATGGGGGGAGGGGGGGGGGGAGAAAGACAAACTCAAAGTAATGAATATGCACTGTAAACGACGGGAACAGATAGCCTATGACTATGCTATGAGGAAACTGTTTGTCATAGTCATAGAGACGATGGACCAGCCACGTGGCTTTCCAAGCAACCACCCCCGGCCGTAAATTCATGCAGAATCATCCCAGTGAAACACTTTCTCTTGTGATAAGTTCTTCGAGTACATCTGATTAGGCTTACTTGGCTAATCTTTAAAATCCTATAGAGGCCTGTCAAGTGTTTTACAGCATTCGCGCGTGTCGCGCAGCAAGCCTAAATTTAATTAAACATTACATGCAGTCACTCAAACACCTTCTCTCAAAGATACATTTCCAGTGACCAATCAAAAAACATTTCACCGACCAGCCCTAGACCGAGACCAGGCGCGTCAGTGGAAAGTAGGGTGTGTAAACGCTGTCCATCACTCTCTTTGTACGGCATGAGGGCGCCCTCACCAAAAATCCGGTTTTCTAGTAAATTTAAAAAATTCTAGTCTTGTCTTATGCAGGCTGTGCAGGTTGTGGTGAAAATTTCCCCTTGCCAAGCTTTACTTGTCGGCGTGTTTCGCAGACCGGAGCGTGCGTTTAGAGGAAGTGACCGTGCGTTTGTACGTCTAAATTATATAGTAAAAAAACCCGTCAGATAACGAAAGCGTGCGTTTGAGGGGAGCATGCTTTTGTATGGCGTGCGTTTAGGCGGAGACGACTGCAATGGTACTAGGCTTATATCGGAAGCGGCCGGCTATGGCCGTTATATATGCTACTGAGTGGGTTAAATGCTCTATCAAAATCATAAGATTATTCGGAGTCGTTATCAAGTTATTCAAAGAATTGCATTCGAAAAATCTTGACTGTTGTGAAACTCAAAATTTTGTCCGTCAAATTTTTGAAAACTAGTAATAGTAGTAAGGGAACCCTAGTAGTAATTCTAGGGTAGCGATATATCAGTTAAGACTGCTTGTTGGTCCAACTACTTTGTTGGGTCCGACACTTTTCGATGAATGATTCATACGATATGAGGTATACATGAACAGGGATTCCTTCTTCTTTTGCTGAATCTGAGGTTTTGTTGAGTCCAATGTCATTAGATGTGAAGTTGGCTGTAGTCTGTCTTGTTGTCTTGTTGAAGAAGGAGAGTTTTGCTATTAATTTATTCAGATTGATGCTTGTGATCAGCAGAAAAAGATTGAGTACTTTGTACTGGTGCATCTTTTTTCCTGTATCAATAAAAACATTGAATATATATCGATCGGGACTTTAATTACTTTTTGACGGGGGATGGTGACTTTACTTGCTTCTTGGCAGTGTTCTTTTTTTGTTTGTTTTTGTAAAGTGTGTTACGGCGCTCGCAACTGCATATGGTCATAATATGAGCGCGCGGGACACACCTAATATTTTCAGTTGGTAGGAAATTTTGAATTTTGCCCGGGTGGCGGCCGAAGCCTACTCTTATCGATTTTAGACCACCAAGGGATCCTTAACGTGCGCAACTTGCACACGGGCCCTCCGAGATTTTTCGCCCTTGTCCGAGAAGGCTAGGTGTAGATCTTTCTTACCAGAAGATCAGGGGTGTGGCAGAAAGACAGCAGTAAGGAGGAGCCAAGGAGTAGCAGTAGAAAGAGTCAGGAGCCCAGAAGAGGGGGCAAAGGAGGTGAAGGGGTGGGGGCAGAAAGTGGAAATGAAAGCAGACAACAGAACATTGCTAGAGAGCAGGAAAGGAGGTGAAAGGAGACAATTTTAGAGAAGAAAATTTGTCGGTCGCTACCCGGATTCGAACCTAGGACCTTTGAATGAGAGGCCAACAACTTAACCTCTAGGCCACGAGAGCCCCCTGGCAGTGTTCTGTCAATAATACTAATAATTGCACTTATATATAAATAGCTTATATCCAGGCTCTACAGCATGCTCTATGCAATTTGCAACCATCACTACCCCAGCAGACCCAAGAACACTCAAAAACATTCTCAGCTTCCTTGGAAGCATACAGTGTAAGTTGAGGATTGCAAGCGCTCAAACACTCACAAACTGACAAGATCTGTCGCTATCTTTATCTATAGCCTTGGGTACCCATTCCCACCTGGGTGATGTGAGGAAAATTCTTGTAAAATGCTTTCCCCACCGACACAACGTTGGGCCCCCGACGGGATTAAAACCCATGACCTTACGGTTGGAGTCCATGAGCCTAACCACTAGGTCACCAACGCTACTATTACAGTAATCCTTATCTCCTTGTGAAATGAGTCTTATCATTACAAATCAGTATGGGGTGTCACAGCAGAAGTCTCACCACTGAGACATGCTTTAGACTTAGACTAACTGTAGAAGGGAGAACAGAAACCATACCATATAACACCATACCTACACAAAAATGAAAGCAGCGGGCAATGAAGGCATCACAGAGGCTCACCACAACAACCTCTAGTGCTCTTCGACCAATGGGTGGGTAGATGCTATGGTGTGGTTTGCTCCTTTTTTATCAAACATCTACAGTCGAACCAGCCGTGACGGCCACCTGTACAAACGGCCACTTTCCATTTCCCCCTTGCATTTTTTCTATATAATTTAACTGTGTAAAACGGTCACCTGTCCAACGCGGCCGCCTTATATTATCAACCCACTGTCAAATTTACCTGCCTCAGGCGGCCAGGCGTAGTCCCTCATTGCCCTACGCTTTGTCATAAATTCATTCACCTGTTGATATTGTTAGTCTCTTCAGTGAATGTTTACCCAAGCTGACCAATGGGTAGGCCCAACAATAAATTTGCAACTGTTTGTGAGAGAAGCGTGATCCATCATAACCTAAAAGCCCCGCCCAGAACTCATGCACAAATCTTGTGAGAGGTGACTGGTCACTGTTTTGTTTATCTAATCTGTAACAAAGTAACAATGGACGTTGACGTGACCTTGCAACAGAAGCGCTGCTCGTTCTTCGAGGTGTGTCAACCCGTGTGTTTGTTTTACTGTGGCACTCGGTCTTACATAAAATTTTGTTTATTTTACCCTTGCACAAAATCAGGAACAAAAATAAAACAAACCAAAAAACGAAACAATAACATCACAAAAAGAACATTCTTACACCACCCACCCCCCTTTTTCAAAGGAAAACAAAAACCCTTTTGAATTAGCCTTACGGCAGTCTAAAGCCTGAGATCAGCCCCGGTTTAGACCTCAGAAGAGAATGATTTGCTTTCTTCATTTTGGACAGTCCTGCCTAAGACAGCCACCAGTGTTATATGGCCACTTTTCTCCTTGACAATGGGCAGCTGTCTAACACAGGTTTTACTGTATCGTCCTTATCTCTCCTCCTTTTTTATATATGTTACTTTCTAGAAACACCCTAATCTTTGGCATTTGTATTACCTATGATCTGTATTGTAAATGCTATAAAACTTACAAAAACAAAACAAACAAGCTCTTCAACAAGACACATCACAAACCCAAACAAATCGCAAATTTTAGACACATTTCAATTTCTTCAAAATCATACAACCACAAAGTACAAGTGTATTGCAATCTGTCCATGAAATTTTGATGACAAAGAAATTATTGTCAAGTGGAAACAGAAAAACCGACAGTGAATATAAAAATATAAAAAGCCAAAAAAGAGAAAAACATGCAACTCTTTTATGTGGTTTTGTCATTATATCAAACTCCTTTCTTCACATAGTTTGATACCCTGGCTTCTGTACACTTCAAAACAAACTCTTTTTAGGACAGGACAAGGAGGTCTCCTAAAGCAGGATCCATAGATTTTCTGTCTATTGCTGATGGTAACTGGATAGGCCAAACAAACATTTATAAGCTGAACAGAAACACATGGGCACAATCATGACCACAATTTCCAGGTTAAAACATGGCAATTGCAAGAAAAGAGGCAGAAAAGAAAGACAGGCAAAAGACACTGAACATTTGTGAATGTGTTAGGACCCAAACATTTGTGACATAGTGTTAAGACCCAAACATTGATGACACAGCGTGACACTGCGTAGCTACTAAAAAAAAAAAAGAAAACAATACACAAGATGGTTTTGATTATTTGTCAATTTAATAAGTTTGGCAGTCCAGCCCCTTGCTCTGAGTGCAAGAAGAGGCAACATATCTTGGTAAACTGCTCATGACAAAAAATCTCGCACACTGGTACAAAAGAAGTCTGTCTCGGATAATGTGTTTTCTTTACACACATTATTTTTTCAGTAATGAAAGTCTACTTTCAGTTTCCATTCAACTAAATAGCACACTCATTTCACAGTAGCAAGGGTGGTTTTGGGAAGCTTTAAGGCAGCTACCGAACCTACTTCAATTCTGCCATAACCAAAGTTCATGTTTTCATATTTTTATTAAACAGAAAAGTGCATTGTCGTCTTCTGTGCTTTTTTGACATTCACAAATAACAGTTTTCGGACTTTAAATACTTAAATGTCACAGAAAGGAATGTTTTCCTTTAATTTTAAAAAAGCAATAGCAGAATGAGCATTGCTTAAAGTTTTGTTATCGCCCAGCTGTTAAAATGTATCACGCTTAAAACTTTGACATTATATTCTTCATTAATCTGTGGTATCGATGCATGTGCTCAAGAAATATTTTGTGAAAATTTAAATTCTCCATGTTGAAAAAAAGCAAGGAAAAAATACATGATGTACCTACAATTGTTAAAAGAAAGAATGAGTTTTTTCTCTCTTTTGAAAAATGTTGCTTTCTGGGCTTAAAACAAATGAACAGCTCACCGCCAATATCTATTTCAAAGTCTCTATCACGATACAGCTATGTCTGTATCTTTTTCAATAGATAAACGAAATACACCTAACACAAACAACTGAGACAGCCCTTTTGAATGCCCACATCTTGGAAGCTGTGTAAACCACTCACCCTGGCTGCACATAGACAGTTCAAAGGATGATGTAGCCAAAAAAAATAAATAGACATGAGTTGAGACTGCTTACAAATAACTCGGAGTATTCACAGCCGATAGACACATTTGATCTTTCACTTGTCAAACTGTAGAATATTCTGCTTCTGATTAAAGTACATACAAACACCAAAACTAGTCAGCACCTCAGAGACTTGTGTCTGAGGGAAATACTGAAGCAACAAAACAGAAATGTCCTGTATCTATACCAGTAGACATACATTACATGCCAGCACCTGCTTATCAGTCGAAACTGACGCAGCAATCTAGCCCAGAAATTGCTTCTTTGAGTTAACAACTCTACAACAACACTTTCATCGAACCAGTCCTCATACACATCACCAAAGTAATGCATGTGAGTATACAGTGAAGCACCTTCAGGAAACTGGGGACTCTTTTTTGAGGGACAAAAGTTAGGCTACCATGACAATAGATCTTGAAATTTCTGACGCGTAAAAGTGACATGAAATGTCAAACCTTACTGACACACAGACTTCATTAGTGGGGAAAAGATTTCAATGGTACTATAATATAAATATAAGGATGGTACAGGAAATGTCCGAAAAAAACGTTTAAAATGAGAAAAATTAAAGAAAATGGAATAAATCTTGAATAAATCCAGTTATCTATAATCTACAAAATCTACAATCATTTTTAATGGTTTTAGTCATAAAATTATACATAATCACTTTCGCAAGCACACAACTTCTTAAACTTGTACACCAAAAATGTTTTATCTTCAATGTGAGATAAACTGTTTTTAAAGGAAGTAACACAAATTTCCACTTGACATTGACAACGCCAACCAGTATCAAAATGGTAGTCAAAACAGCTATCATCCTTATCCCTCCTCCTTATAAATTTAATTGTATGTTACTCTCTAATAACCCTCTAATCTTCCACACTTATTTGACCTTTTTGTGTTGCAAGCAATGTAAAACTCTTACTAAAACAATTGGTCGATTTTAAGGACCAGTGGGCTAACCCAGATTTCGGGGGTTTCCAGAAATCTTGACCTATACCAAAAGTGGGCATTGCCCTACCTATAGAAGTTTGGTTTGGTTGGTGAGTATATTTGTTTGGTTATAGTGAGAAAACTTTCTTTGTCTTTTAAAGAAACTGAACAAGGGCAGAAAACTTTAACTTCGATTTTCTCAAAACAGCATTTTTCGGGATAGCCCCCTTGCGTTTAAAAGCGACCAATTACAATATTCTGCATGTTTCTCAAAATGCTTCCTAAAAATGGAAATGGCCAACTTGGTTACAAGACAAAAAAATCAGGGACAAAAAGTCTGCAGAGCCTAGTGAACTATTTCATCACTGCCATTTACGAACTGCATTAAAAAAGATTATTTATCTGGATAATCTGAGTCTATCCCCAAGACAAAAGCAAAGCCTGCGAAGCCTAAAGTCTAAAATTATAACTGCGCATACCCTTGCACAAATCCTAGGTTTAACCCAATCCTTACTAACTGCTGCTCAGGCGTTCACCACTAGAGGCTAATGGCTGTCACAATGGGGAATTTTCATGTCACATTAGTACCAAGACAGCGACGTCACATCAAGTCACACCGAAGTGCGATGATGCATGTCACTTTGGGTCACAAAAGCAAAGGATGGGATTAAGCAACAACTAGAACTACTGTTTCCTGTAATGATAAATCACCAGGTAAAATTCGAGTCCAACTGGATTCTTTTTTTTTCTGTAAAAATAACATTTCTGTTCTTGAAAAAGTTCCTCAAGAACATCTATACAACCATTGCATGGGAGCAACAGATGTCAGTTTTGTGAAAAAGGCCATTGGGGTTACTAGGCTTGCCAACTTTTTCAAATCCCAATCAGGGACATCCAGCATTATAACATCAAATTACGTACCAACAAACACAATTACATCAAGTGGGACTGGTTTCAGCTAGTGCATTTTATGTTTTCTCAAATTTCCGGTTACAATATCTGGGAAAGTCCTCAGAAATTCGGGATGGTTGGCAAACCTGGATTATCATTCAAATTTTTTTTTTTTTTAAATGAAACATGTATATTTAGATATATGAGCAACGATTTGTGAGTGGAAAGAGAAAGAAATTAAAATATTTTGAAAACAAAAACAGCAATGTACTACTTGAGCCCCCTAAAATGTCAACAAATCATACAAACAGACTAACACAACACAATTCAACTTCTCTTATTCGTTCTTTCTCTCTCTCCAACTGTTTCATCCTTTGCAATTAAGTTATGAAGGCTCCCTTCCGTGAAAGATGCTGACAAATCAGCTGTCAGTCCGACAGAAGGGGGCTATAATGTGGACTCGGTGTGGAGGGCAGAGTACAAAATGATCCACGCAACCTGAAACAAGACACTGACAGGTAAAGCCAAAATTGCTTTAGTTAAGAGTTTTAGGGCTCTTGCAACGCAATAGAATTGTTACTATAGAGTAACATACACAGAAAAGGAGGAGAGATCAGAAAAGACAATAGATGTTTGATGGAAAAGAAGGAACAAACCACACCAGCCAACCGCCAAAAGTCGAAACTGTATAACACAGCCATCCATAGTTGAGGCGAAAAGTCATCAATTTATACAGGTGATGTCTTACATAGTGTCATTATGATGTCAAAAAAGCGTAGGGGGAGAGAATGGGAAGTAGCTGTGAGGAATTACCTTGTGTACAAGTGACAGTCTTACACAAGTAGCCCTTGGAGCAGTTTCCACTGTATTTTAAACTAGCTTGGCAATTTGATAATTTTTTTAACCGTATCAGTCTGCTACTTCTTTACCACTGCTGAATACTATTCTGTTGACAAAACAAAATAGGCCTATAGTATAGGTTCAAACTTGAGAAGACGTCGACCTTGTGACAAAAATACAAACATGTTACATTTAAACAAAAGACAAAAAAACATGTCAAGCACTGTGGCCTAAAAGGTCAACAGATGTGCTACCACACAAAAGTCCGACATATGAAGCTTAGTTAGGTCCAAATTATTGTAGTTACTAAGCCTGGAGTTCTGACATTGAAGCAAGTGCTTTGTCGCTTACATGACCTACATTGTATCTAGAAAGGCATTCAACTCTGCCACAAAATAACAAAGATAGAAGCCAAAAACCAGAAGACAGCGGAAGAATAAGAATATCTAAGTGGGGAAATACTATGTGTTCCTCTGATGATTTTAGTTTAGTTTTAGTAGAGGTTTTATGGCGCTCGCTACTGCATAAGGTCATATATGAGCGCCAGAAGAATAGAGGTGTTACAAGAGAGTAACAAACATAAAAAAGAAGAAAGGGGAGATAAGGACGATAGATGTTTCATAGGAAAAAAGAAGCAAACCACACCTGAGCACCCGCCAACCACCCATTCTGATGATCTGTCAAGAAGAAAAATCACAATAAATATAGTCGAGTCTGCTTGAACCCAAATCTGGTGGACTGCCGGATTTTCTTCGAATTAGTTGTGTTTTCCATTTAGAGAAGTTACTCAAATAGCATAGCTGCCACTCAAGAATTTCAAAAAAAGAGGAAATTTGCGTGCTCTCAGAAGGCCAGAGTAAAACCAGTGAGATCCAGAGGCAATATTATACTGGAAAATCTAGCCTATAGTTTTGGAAGGGAAAACTGTCATATTTGTTATCCATAGACAACTGAATTAAAATGTATTTGAACCCCCCCCCCCCTAAAAAAAACACCAAAAAAACAAAGGAACTAAGTTGACTAACAAGCATTTGAGTCAATTTGACACAGTTTGGACTTGGTGACTAAAAATCCAGTATTTGTTGCCAGCTGGTGTCTCATAAAAAGATTTCTTTCCCTTTAAACTTGTACATCGATGTAGAGCAGTATTGGATCAGGGAGGCAACACCTTTGCCGCTGTACTGAGCGATTTCGGCACTCCTGTACAATTGCAGTCCCGTTTGCACTTAGTGCCCCTGTAGTGTGTTTCTTATTTATTGATCTAAACTGAATTAAAATTATAGCCTAGGCTATCTAATCTAGATCTAGAATCTAGATATCTAGAATATATGTAGACCTAGATTGTATCTAGAGATAGATTATCTGGATCTAGATTCACTTCCACAGCCACAATAGCCGTCATGTAAACAAACGGGACCGCAATTGTACAGGAGTGCCGCACGCCGCGATTTCTTTAGCGCACCAAACGCAGCAAAGTGCAGCAAGTGGCTAGTTCAATTTTCTAATGGACTTTTCAAGTTGCATACCAGCTGCTTCTTTCTTTCTCATTCCAGTTCCTTTTATTTTTGCATTCTGCATCAATTTCTCTCAAATTTCAGCCGTTTTCAATGACAACTCGGCGCACCAACGTCCCGATGCCCGATCGAAACTATGTTGCTCCACAACAATAAACAATGTGAAACTAGCGCTGCTAGGCCTAGAAGAACGGAAGTAGAAAGCTACGGGCGGACATGTGCAACCCGCGTTTTCGTCTCTCTCACGGTTCGGTGTTTTCCGGGTGTAAAAAAAAAAAGTATCGCAATTTGTGACCGAGAGCGGTCCAGCGGAGGAAGGAGGAAAGTAGCGGGAAAAGCCAGATGAAGCGGAGCTTCCGCTATTTAGCAGGAAAGTTGCAGCTATGAAATAGACACAAAAAATCACAGATATTATTCTCTTTGTGACAAAAAATAAAAAAAACTCTACTCACCAGAAAAGAGGAAAAAGACGTCATCAATCCCTCTTTCAGGATTTCCGTGGCTCCACCATATTCCTCTTCATCAACTTTTTGAAAAGTATTGTAATAAATATACACCACAGCAACATTCACAAGTAAGAACCTGGGGAGAACAAAGAGTAGTCATTTGTACTCAAGGAACTCTGATATTATCTTAAAATGTGAGGCATGCTCACAAAATGAGTTGACTCTCGCAGTCCATAAATGGAGATGTCAGCCGAAATCTACACATCAAATTTGTAGATTTTCAACTAACATCATTTTCTTCCAAGTTAAATATATGTATCTTATATAATTTCATGAAATAAATTGTGCAAACCTAACCTATAAATTTGACATATATATCTATCGATGTCCACAGGACTAAAATCTGAGAAGTAACTCATCTTGTCAGCCCGCCTCACAAATTGTCTTTTTCAAGAAAAGATGTAGCTTCAAGAAAGCAAAGTAACAAATAATAACATTTGTCAAGCATTTTATCCATAGAAGTTTACTTCATCCATTTAAAACATTTACTGAGAACATGTTATTTTATTTTATTTTCTTAGAGCCAAGAAAGAAGAATTTACGTAACGCCAAAGTATTTTCTTAAGCCGCTGAGTTTTCTACCTCTGTAATTTTCAGTGAACATTTTAACACCTTGTTCAGATCATGAATTGTATGTGAACATAAACTCGTGTACATGACAAAGAACAGAACAAAAGAAAAGACAAATTTCTTTACAATGCAAGCCCAAGAAACCCCTTGAGAGGAATGATGCCCCACGCCAGTCCTAGGACAACACCAAGAATCTGTCGCATCCAGTAAATCACATCAAGGAATTCATCCTGCAGCAAGAGATATAAATAAAGGTCAATGAAATTTATAGACACATCAACAACAAAAAAACACCAAGAAAAAAACACGTAGAGGCAGATGAGAAAATCGTCATCAAAAGATTTTTGTCTTTTGATTCTATGTGAAATTTGATAATAATCGTATTATCTGACAAGTCACACTTTACAGAAAGGTAATTTATCCAAACAAGAGAGAGAAGCAAAATAATTGTACAGAATCAGTTCATTTTCCACTCTGCAGGACTGGATCTAGTGTTAATAAAGGGACTCTGAAATGGATATATGCAATACAGAATCAGAGACAAAATATCAGGTATAACCTAAAACATTTAAATTCAAACCTATGATGCATGTTGACAAATGCTACTAGATCTAGATCTAGATCTAGATTCTAGATCTAATTTGCCTTGCTGTTATTCAACATTGATCTCTGTGATGGCCTGTCAAGTAAGTAAAGTAATGACAGTAACATTACAATAATAATCAATAACATCGTGAATCAAAGAACTGATCTAAACTCAGTAACAACGTTATGTTATGATCAGAAGCAGCCATATCCCCAACTACAGCTACGATGAGTAAGAAAACCTCATTCGGCTTTACCTTATCCGACCATGCAAATTCTGGTGTCACAGCTTTGGATAGCAAAGAAATCAAGTTTCCACCGTTGTTGGAATCATCTCCATTCGCTTTCGCTGATGATTTCTTGGCACTAGAATTCGCCATAGTTCGTTTATAAAGCTATCAATAATTTAAAAATTGAGTTGGAAATGGCAACCACAAATTCAGAATTGAGATGCCAGCAATTTCACAGCCTGGTAAATTCTGAGCTTGATAATCCCAAGTCACAACGTGTCCACCATGTTGTTTACACTAATGTAGAACAGCGAGACTGGCTGAAGCCGCAGCAGTAAGGAAAAAAAACTGGATACGTCAGTAGAATCAACATATCGCAGATCTTTAAAATGTTATCTGACGAATTAATTCGGGGAGGATTGAGGGGGGGGGGGTGTGAAGCCAAAACCATCATGGACCTAAGTGTAGTCATTTTTTGTGGGGGGGGGGCAAAAAAAAATTTTTAAAGCGAGAAGTGTTTTCACTTTCTAGTGGTGGATGAGAGTAAACTATATATTTCGTGTGCGACTGAATTGAACTTTGACTTTGGTTTCTCGACCTGCAAGCCAACGTTTCATCACAAAACCTGAGCTCTGATATTCCCTTCATACTTGTCATGCACGTGAATTATTTGGGGGGGGGGGGGTAATAATGAGTGCATACATTGGTGGTGGTGGCGATGCAAGTGGTGGTGATGGTGATGGTGACGATTGATTCTCTCCCTCTCCCCCCCCCCCCCCCCCCCCCTCTCTCTCTCTCTCTCTCTCTCTCTCTCTCTCTCTCTCTCTCTCTCTCTCTCTCTCTCTCTCTCTCTCTCTCTCTCTCTCTCTCTCTCTCTCTCTCTCTCTCTCTCTTTCTCTCTCTCTCTCTCTCCCCTCTCTCTCTCTAGATAGATAGATAGATAGATAGATAGATAGATAGATAGATAGATAGATAGATAGATAGATAGATAGATAGATAGATAGATAGATAGATAGATAGATAGATAGATAGATAGATAGATAGATAGATAGATAGATAGACAGATAATTTATCTAAGTGTGCGTGTGTATGTGTGTATTTTAGTTTGTTTTTAAGTAGAGGGTTTTACGGCGCTCGCAACTGCATAAGGTCATATGAGCGCCAAGGGGTGGATGTCAACAGAGAAGTCTTTATAGGGAATCAGGACTTGCTCTGCTCACCTCTCTAGCTTCAACAGCACAAAGTCTGCTTCGACTATCAAGGCACCCCAGAAATAGAGGGTCACAAGAGTGTGACAAACATACAAAAGAAGTAGAGGAAAATGACGATAGTCTAGCATCTGCGTTTGTTGCCATTTTTTGTCCAAAAGTTGCCAAAAGTTGTCACAAAAATGGCAAAAGTTGCCAAAAAAGTTGCCATTAATTTTCAAGCTTTCAATTTCAACTAGCTGTGACGATATAATATATTAGTAGTAGTAGAAGTAGTAGTAGTATGAAGTACGGCTGTGGTCAGGCTAGTCGCCTATCAGCCGTTCGTTGCTTTCGTTGCTTATTCCTTCCTGTACGTTGTTTTCAGACTCTGGTATCTGTAGGTTAGTGCTCATGGGACATGGATCTGGCAGTTTGAAACCAATCTAGGTTCATAGAGAATTTATGTTCCTTCCAGACCATGTCAATCCTATTCTTGAAAGCATTCAAGGATGGTGCAGACACCACATTTTCCGGTAGGGAATTCCAAGCGTTAACTGTGCGTACGCTGAAGAAGTTTTGGCGGACTGCTGTTTTCACATGTTGTTTTTTTTTTTTCAATTTTAGACTGTGTCCCCTGGTGTTAGAGTGAAGATCGCGGGGTAAAAAAATCTCCCGTTACGTTGTAAATTCCTGTTAAATACTTGTAACATTCAATCATGTCGCCACTAGCTCTCCGATAGTACAGCGATGGCAGATCCAATTTTCTGAGAAGATCGCAGTAAGCAAGGTGCTGTAGTTCAGGAATTAGTTTGGTGGCCCGACGTTGCACTTTTTCAAGTTGTTCTTCATCACCTTTAAGTCTGGGGTGCCAGACCACATTTCCATACTCTAGATGAGGACGAATGATTGATTTGTACAGAGTAGAAAGGGACACTTTGTCCAGCATTGTGAAACCTCTCCGGATCAGTGCGAGAAGATTGTTAGCTTTGTTGACCTGATACTGACATGTTTGCTGAATTTTCGATCACTATCAATATTCACACCTAGGTCTTTTTCTAGTGACACAGATTCTAGAGTGATGCGTTCACCTTTGGATGTCATCTTGTACTCTATATTGATAGAGGTGACTTAATCTAAAGCACCAGAATTTCTTGTGCTCTGTTTTAAGCATCCAGAATATTATTTGTAGACACATGGAGTGTAAAAAAATGAAAAATAAAGGTTTCACAACAGAATGAAATCAAAATTAGAACAGCACACAAATAACCGCTAAAAGTAACAAATAAGGGCGTGTGTCCACCCATTCGAAGATTGGCCGTTTTGTCCCTAAACGTATTTAATTCAAGAAAAAGGACAGGATATTACATGTAAATTATGGAATCACACACAAGGGGCCTGCTGTAAGTATTCGGTTTTGGTGGAGACACGCTCTAACATAACACTTATATTTATTTTTTTTATTTTTTTAAATGTAGGAACATCAAATTAAATGACATTACGCTATATAAACACACACAAATAGATAAGAAAAATTAACACACCAACAAAGAGAGGAAACAAAAAGACAAACAGCAATATAATGTGTAATGTACTTATTATTATTCTTCGCGTATAAATAACTATACATGGACACTTTAAAATTATAAAAAATACACGTCTATGTTATGAAGTAGCCTTTTCTTTTTGAAAAATGTAAAAATCGCGGCCGCGTAAAATGCCGAAAATCGCGGCCGCGACAAACGCAGATGCTAGGATAGTAAGGATTAGGAAAGAAAAAGCAGTAGTTCCCTGTTGTAGTTCAGGCACAGTTATGAGCATGACATGGTTGAATCAGCCCATTTACAATTCTACTGTGCACTACTAGAACGAAACATGTCCCCCTTTTGGGAATGGTCTAAAAACACTTCAATCAGTGGCACCGCCCCGGGGTGTGTGTGTGTGTGTGTGTGTGTGTGTGTGTGTGTGTGTGTGTGTGTGTGTGCATGTGTGCGTGCGTGCGTGCGTGCGCGTGTGCATGTGTGATGTTCATAATAATATTATTATCGTCATTGATTGTGCTGTGCTAGTAAGAATATGTCTACTAATGTGTCAGTGTTAATATATAGAGTATCATGTACACATTATGTTCATTGACGCCTGTGTTTTGAATTGAGATGAAGGTGTTGAAAAGCGCCTTGAGTTTTATAAACTGTATTGTAAGGAGTAGGTGCTACAGAAATTATCTGCATTATATTATTATTGTTATTATATAATACTCACTCTCCTGTCCGCTGAAGTGTTCACGTCAACGTTGACTACAATAGACTTTATGGCTTTTTTTTGGAAAGTGTTTTACGGCGCTCGTAACTGCACAAGGTCATATTAGCACACAGGACACATTAAACATTTTCAGTTGGTAGCAAATTTTGAATTTTGCCCGGGTGGCGGCCGAAGCCCACTCTTGTCGATTTTAGACTACCAAGGGATCTTTAACCGGTGCAACTTGCACATGGGACCTATCCGAGATTTTTCGCCCTTGTCCGAGAAGGCTAGGTGTAGATCATTCCTAGAAGATCAGGGGAGTGGCTGAAAGACAGAAGTAAGAAGGAGTCAAGGAGTAGCAAAAAGGCTTTAGAAAGAGTCAGGAGCCCAGAGGACGGGGCAAAGGAGGTGAAGAGGTGGGGGCACAAAGTGGAGACGACAGCCGGCGACAGAACATGGTTTGAGAGCAGGAAAGGAGCTGAAAGGAGACACTTTTAGAGAAGAACATTTTTCCGTTGCTACCCGGATTCGAATCAGGGACTTTTGAATGAGAGGCAAACACCGTAACCTCTAGGCCACGAGAGGCCCCATGTTGTAGTTTGTTTACGGCTTCTTTTTATAGAAACAGAAACAGCGGAGGCTGTGAGTGAGTAGTTGGCGGATGCTCAGGTGTGGTTTGCTCCTTTTTTCCTTCCAAACATGTATCATCCTTATCACTCCTTCCTCTTTTCTTAGTATATTACTCTCTAGTAACAAACACTTACTAAAAACTAAAAGATAAATAGAAAATTTGGTCTTGGGGGAGGGGGCTACACATGAAGGCTATAATCTCGCTTATTAGCGGACCGAATTTTACAAAATTTCATACATATAACAAGCATAGTAAGGAGTCTTAAAATCCGCAATCAAATTTGAAAAAAAAAGTTTCGTTTCCATGGATACGGCGGCCATATTGGATTTTTATTGACATGTCTTACGTAATGAATACCGCACTTATCGCAGATGGAAATTGATTGTTTTTTAGGCATGTGTGTTAAAACATTAGATCTAAAATTTGTCTGTTGTTTTTTTTTCTTAAACGAATTAGAACATTTTTAATGAATTTTTTCCTGACGTAGTATTCAAGTTTGCAAAAAATCAGTGAAAATCCACACTCAAGACACCACCAACAAAAATCTATTCCATATATACAAAATTCAACTGAAAATTTGTAGTAATACATCTTTTCTTCATTTTGTGAAAATTTCATAAAGATTGGATGAAAACTGGTGGAGTTATTTTTTTTAAAGTATAGAGAAAAGTCGAGTTTTGAGAAAACGACCGATAAAGAAAAATAAAATATTGACTTTAAGAGGAAATGGTGGTGACAAACATGCCCGATATGGGAAAAAAAGAGGTTTTTGGGGGTTCTTATGTGATGAAATTGTTGTAGGAGAGGCTGAGGAATTTGAGCCGAATCGGGACTTTCGGGGTGTAGCTCCCCCCTTAATTGAAACATTGTACAAAATATCGAATCTGCAAAAAAGGATAAGAAACTCTGCAACAGAAAGGTATGATTTTCATATAAAGTTTCGTTTATTGTCTGAGATAAAATAAAAAGAACTGAATCCCAAGAGGTCAACTAAATAATTTGGTTTAAAAAATGGAAACTTCCAAACTTTTCTTGAACTAAAACAATTCTTATACCCTGCTGTTATGATGCTCTTTGTTCCCAACAGCTTTTATAACTTGGTTTCTTTTTTTACAATGGGTAATTAAAATTATGGTGGAGATCAAACATAGAGGAAAATAAAATGAGACGAAGAGGAGGAAGAGGAGGGGGAGGGAGAGGAGGGGAGGAGGGAGGGAGAGAAGGAGGTGAAGGGGAGGAGGAGGTGGAGGGGAGGAGGCGAGAGGAGGAGAAGATGGAGGAAGAGAAGGATGAGGAGGGGAGGAAGAAGAGGGGAGACAAGGAGGAAGAGAAGCAAGGCAAGAAAGAAGAGAAGGAAGAGGAGGGGAGATAGAAAGCAAAAGGAGAAAGAGGAGAAGGAGGAGGAGGAGGAGGGGGGAGGAGGAGGAGGGGGGA